TAAAGCTCGAGTCACACGACATTTGTTTCCTGGGCTGGCGTGCTTGATTTTTAAGTGCGATTTGTTCCAGCTTACTTGATTTTTGAGTGTGATTTGTTTTGGCTTACTAGATTTTGAGTGAGATTTGTTTTAGCTTGCTAGATTATCAAGTAATATAAATCACATGACCAAATACTGCCTCCCTATTGGTTCCAACGAACAAATCCATCTACAAAAATAAAGCACGTTCTAACTTTTGCATTACGAGATTTTGCCGATTTGACCACCAGCATGCTAGCCAGCAGACCAACAAAACAAGCTTCGTGTGATTTAGACTTTAAACGTTCGCTATTTTTGTAGATGGATTCGTTCATTCGAACCAATAGAAAAGCAGTATTTTGACATGTGGTTTATCGCATTTAAAAACCAACAAGCTAAAACAAATCTCACCCAAAACAAGCAAGCTTTCTCGCATCGTGTGACGAAAACGACTTTAAAAACTATCATGAAATCTAACGCCGACATCCGCGACAAAATCAAGCTTTCTATACTGTCCAGAAAACAAGCGTCGTGTGAACAGGGCTTAAGTTGACCACGATATAGTTTCTCGAGAAATGCAAGATTTAAATTAGATGTACCTAATATCTAAGTAAATTAAAGTTCCATATATATTATCTCTTACCTTGTATATTTTGTAAATTCAAAAGGCATATAGTTAATTGCCGAAGCCATGCCACATCTAAAAATTCTAACGCTGATATCTGAAGGATCATCATTATCAGTGAAAATTGTTACTGCAATTTTATTCTGAAACAAATAACATAAAAGAATTGGTAAGTGACTTTTTTACCAAATATTATTATAGTAAAGACATATTCTTTATCGGGTAAGTTTACGCCAAAAAGTCTGTTTTGCTAATTTTATTTTTTCTTGACCTTTCTAATCATTTTGAATCAAAAGCAAATATGTAGCGATAGAGTGCATTAGTCTTAACAAATATCCTAAAATATTTAAGGCCTAGAAAAAGTAGTTTTATTATAAGAATTGAAAATTTGCATGAAATTCTCCATAAGTGATCTAATTGCCTGGCCATCTGTGTAGCTGTCCATCTGTTTACCAATCTACTTATTTAACTGTTTATTCTACTTGTATACCAGCTTATCTGTATCAGTTTATCAGTCTAGCAACCTAACTGTCTACATGTCTCCATTTCTACTTTTTTACCTATTTACCTGTCTAACTTTCTAGTTGCAAACCTGTCTACCAGGTATAATTGCCGACTCCTTACCTAAATACCTGTCTCCCTGTACTTATCAACCAACATCATGTCTATCTATCTATTTCACCAACAAATCATATTTGCTGGAACTTTATTCTGCATCTCCAAACCGGCTAGACCTGCCTTAGCAAAAACGTAATCAATTCGTCACTCTGTCAACACAAGTAATATTGTTTGAATCATTCAAATCGGATGCTCCATTTTTGAAAAACTGTCGTTTATAGCACTTTTTGCTCTGTATTTTCCAAACGGGTAAATCTGTCTTTGCTATAAACATATCAGCATGTCTTCCTGTCAATACAAATCGAATGTTTTTTTAATAATTCAAATCGGTTCATGGGTGCTCCCGAAAAAATTGTAACCATATAAACATATGCACGCACACGCGCACACACATCCGTTTTTTCTAAGGCATGCCAGAATGTTCAGAAACCTTTGAAACGTAAAGATTCGCAAAAATTTTCATTTTCCGATTTTTTGTCGAATACTATAACTTACCTTAAGGGAAATTAATTAAAGATTGGAATAATTTACTGCGTCCTTAGCCGCCACAAATAAATGATTTCCTTGCCCTTCGTCGTCTATCATTTCCATTTCATTTTTCCCCTCCCCCGCTTTTTACACTTTTTTTTCATGTATTTTCCTTTCAAAACTTTTGCTTCCATGCTTCCTGATCCTGCTTTCGGCTTTCAGTTCCCTGTAATTTCCTCTTCTCGCGTAACTCGTCAATCATCTGCATTCTTTTTTTTCCAATCCTTTCAGTCCTTCCATTTTACCCACGACGACATCGTGCATGAAGCATGAGGCACTCTTTTTGCAGAACAGGTCCGATCCAGTTTCCTTTTCTTTCCAGAATTGTGCTCAGTAGAGCCCTTTCTTCGTCCACTCTTTTTTTTTCCACTTTATCTTCTGCATCCACCTCCAGCACCACATTTCAAAACTTTCCAGGTAGTTTTTGTCGACCTTTTTTAGAGTCCATGTCTCTGATCCGTACATAGACATAGATAGCACTTTATTAGTCTCTTCCGCAAGTCAAAATCATTTACATAATCAACTTTTGCAACAATTTTTTTTTGGAAAAATGCAACTTTTCTTAAGTCAAAATGCTACTTAATGATATAATAATTTAGTTTATTCGCGACCCTTTCCACTCGAGTTTTTCAAGATTTGTATGTATGTATTTTGTCACCAGAGCGGCGGCATCAGAGTGGAAAGGGTTAAGGAACCAATTGACCCTAATAAAAATTACCTGAAAAAATCTCCATGTAAATTTCCAAAACGCAGCTTCTACTTTTGAACACAAACCGTCATGGTTTTGATTTACAACAAAATGCTTATTTTTAAAACTGTTCACGTGTAAAATAAAATTAATTATTATTAGAAATATAAAATCTTGCTTCATTTTGTATAAAGTACAATTATGTTATGGAAATGCCGCATGTTTTGTACAAACCGAATTCTGTTCGACAAATAACATTAATTATGAATGAATTGTGATAAACAAGTTTTGTGGTAAGAATTTTGATATTAAAAATGTATTTTGATTACATAAATAACTCTACAAATAAAATAGTGCAAATATGCAATCGACTGCCGATGAATAACATCAAATTTCCAAATTATTCAACAAATATTTCTATTAAATGCAATCACAAGTTTAACGAAATAATTCGACTAATTATCTATATTATTATTCGATAAAGTCTGTGATTTTTCAAATTATTAAAACATCATTGAATATTTGTTTGTTTTTAATGTGTTTTATTAAACTATAAGTCATTTAATTGCCTATGAATTATTAATTATTCGTTCTAGATTTTTTCGACAATAACTTCATTAATAATGTAGGCGCATGTAAACTTATTTACTCAATAACGCATTTATTAATTAATGAAAAAAAGAGTGCGCGTAAGGTTCACACGCGAGTGAAGTAAAACTTATTTGTTACTGTATAAGATTGCATTTAAGTAAAAATATATACATCATCTAACAATTTTGAATAATGTTTATTAGTAATATGGAAACATTTGTGATGCACACATTTATTAGTGTCAACCATTATACACATTTATATAATGATAAATTGTAAATTATATATTTATAATAGCATTAAAAATATGTATAATATTTTTATATAATAAGTTAATAATGTAATTAAAGTCATACTTCAAATATGACATGATCGGTTTGTCATTGTAATTAGCATTCAGAAATGAACCTTCATTAGAGAAATGAAGTAATTGCGAAGAGAAATTAATAACCTCTAAAATTCAGTAGCTTATGTTAAACAACGCCTAAACAAATATTGTTTTCGCAACTTCACTCAACATGTAATTGTGTTTGAAAAACTTCATGTAATTAAAATTAACATTCATTCATTGACTGCTTGTTTTTTTTTACTTTTTCGCTGGTTATACAATCTCATTCTTTGAACAGCTGTAATATCTGTCTTGCCTAGAAAATATTTTTCATTTTAATAACTTCAAAGATTTATAGAAACTACGAATAATATACAAATAATTTCAAATCAATAAACTTACGTTTACTACATGGCCCAAATGTTTAATTTGTTTTATTATTTTCACAGAGCAGGGTAAAATATTCTTCTGATTCAGGCATTTTTCATTAAATCAAGATTTGTACTACGATGAAACTTTAAAATGTTTATTTATCTATGCCGAATTCCTTGTTGATATCGGTACGCTTACAACGTTGATGCCGGTACGCATACGACGACAGATCTCTATTCACATACACGACGGCTAATCACAATCGACCCATATAGAAATGATCTCATCGAACAGTTCGGGCGTAACGGACTTCCGTTGCATTTGAACGGATTCACAGCCTAGTCGCGCCTAAAGAAGTTTTACGTCAAAAAAAAAACAGGGACTGTAAGCCAAATGGTAGCATGGAAGCAGAAGTTAGGAAATGTTAATAACAATCATAATAATAATTAAAAGCCAAAAAAAACGACGATGGCCTCCATTCAGACAGAATATAAATATATAATATATGTATATTTTAGGCATATATCCAATTATTAAATAACTAATATAATTAAGTCATCTAGATGTGACTACTTATTTATTTATTCATTTATTCATAAGCAAGCCGTAATCAATAATAATAAATATCATTTCAGGCTCTTGTCAAGGTTATTACAACATTGTAACTGAAAATATATATATATGACGAAACAGATAAAACAATATATGTCTAGGTGTAAGTGGCATTGTGCCTTGAACAAGTTAAGGAACTTCCTGATATTCAATAATTGATTTAATCAATAAATATTTAATTAGTATATGATCCACCTGTCTAACAGTCCACTTGTTCACCTGGCCAATTGTCTTCCTGAGCAAATGACTAAATTCCTAAGTGTACATCTGTCTAAAAGTCAACTTGTCTACTTTTGTTCACGTCTACTTGTTACCTCTAATCTTTTCTCCTGCAACTCCAAAACCGCTGAACCTGCCTTTGCAAAAATCTAATCAATTTTTCACTTCGTCAATGCAATTAAAATGTTTGAGTACTGCAATTTTGTGCACTATTTGCTACATGTCTCCAAAACAGCTGAACCTATCTTTGCTAAAAACCAATCAGCATTTCCTGACATACTTATGAATCAAAAGTCGTTTTTTTAAGTTTACTGTATATTTCATACTATTCATACATTCTATTATATTCATTCAATATAACAAGTATGCTTATACTTCATTGATTTTCATCAGGCTTCCAACTATGAAGTGGCTTGTGTTCCTTCAAATTGTTGGCCCACACGACTATGAATAACCATATGTCTCTTTAGATTACTTAATTGTGTGAATGTTTTCTTGCATATATCGCATTCATGAGGGCGTACTCCATTGTGAGTCAGCATGTGACCACTTAGATGACCTGGTTGTGTAAATGTCTTACTACAAATGTTGCATTCATAAGGACGGACTCCATTGTGCACCAGCATGTGTCTTTTTAGAGTAGCTGAATCTGTAAATGTCTTATTGCATTCATTGCATTCATAGGGGCGTACTCCATTATGCATCAACATGTGTTTTTTCAGACTACTTGATTGTGTGAATGTCTTGTTACAAATATTGCATTTATGTGGGCGATCTCCATTGTGTGTCAGCATGTGTCGTTTCAGACCACTTATTTCTGTAAATGTCTTATTGCATATATTGCATTCAAGAGAATGTTCTGCAGTATGCATCACCATATGACTGTTCAGATGACTTGATTGTGTAAATGTTTTATTACAAATATTGCATTCATAGGGACGTACATCATTGTGTATCACCATGTGCCTGTTTAGAGTAGTTGATAGTGTGAATGCCTTATTGCATATATTGCATTCATAAGGGCGGTCTCCATTGTGCAACAGCATGTGTTTTTTCAGACTACCTGATTGTGTAAATGTCTTATTACAAATTTCGCATTCATAGGGATGTACTCCTTTGTGTGTCAGAATGTGCTTTTTCAAACTACTTGATTCTGTGAATGTCTTATTACAAATTTCACATTCATGGTGACGAATTCCACTGTGCGTAAGAATGTGTCGTTTCAGACTATGCAGTTCTGTGAATGCTTTATTGCATATGTTGCATTTATGGGAGCGCACACCACTATGCATAATCATGTGACGTTTCAGATTACTAGATTGTGTGAATGTCTTCTGGCATAAATTGCATTCATGAGGACGAACTCCATTGTGAATCATCATGTGTTTATTCAGAGAACTTGATTCTTTGAATGTCTTATTGCATATTTCACATTTATAACGACGCTCTTCGCAATGAATCAGCATGTGTTTTTTTAGATTACTTAATTGTGTGAATGTCTTATCGCATTCATTGCATAGAAAGGGTTGTTTTTCAGGGCTAGGATTAGGCATGTGATCGACCATATGCTCTTTTAAAAGGTGTGATTCTGCAAAAGATTGATTACAAATGTCACAGTCATAAGGGGATATTTCGATTACCTCCTGTTTGACTTCTTCTTTTATAGACACTTCGGAATTCTTGAATCTTTCTAAACACGTTTCATCATCCTCAGTACACGATTCAGATTTGATAATAGCGTCAAAAACACCATTTTCATCCTCAATTTCGCTTTTAATCTCTTCCACTGAATATTCTGGTGGTTCAATTTTAATTGCCTGAGCATTAATAGACATAATTGCTTCTTCTGACATTTTTAAATATTTTCATTCACTCACATATACTCAATATATTCACAAAAATAGTTATATTCTAAATAATAATGTAATTAACCAACAATCTTTTAAAAGAGTTAATTATTTCAACTTTTGCATATTAAAATTTGACATTTGAGGCATAGAGCATTGAATATGTTTTCAAAAGGATGAGACATTTTTAAAAATAAAACAAAAGTTAGTCAAGCATAGTGGTTGAGAAATATAGACAGGCAAAACACGTCTTCTCATAGTGGCCAAAAAGTGAAACTAGTTGCGCCCTTGCGCCATAGATAAACATATAGATAGTACAAGTATAAATGACAGAAAAAAACAGTGATGCATGGCATCGTGCCATAATGCAAATTGCTGGAGCTGGAACTTCCTGAACAAAAAATTAAAATTTTTAATAAAACCTTAACATTTTAAAACTTATAAAAAACGAGATTTTTAAATTTTTTGAAAAACTGAATAAGAAATTTGAAATTGTTTGAAAATTTAGTCAATACAAGTTTTTTTTATTTTATTTTTGCCAATTTTAACAATCAGATTACAACATATAAGTCAAAAGTGATGGTATTGAAAATCAAAATCAAGAAGAAAAAAAAATAGAATAAAACAAAATTAAAGAAAAGAAAGAGAATAATTAAATGAATAAATAATAATTTAAATAAGATAGTGTTAATAATAAAAACAATAATCAATAATAAATAATAATTATAAATAACTTGTTTGGAAATTTTCCTGTGCACAACAGAGAAAATTATGTTGTGGCGGTAGATCACTAGGCCATTTTCTTTTCAGGCGTTTTAATTTTTCGGCTGTCTGTACTATTTGCATTTCCGTATTGACGTGTGCATCCATCAATTTGTTTCAGTCAATACAAGTAAAATATTCTTGAAATTATTAAAATCGGACGCCCCCCGTTCTCTCAAAAACTAAGTTACCATTTTTGGCACTTTTTGCCTCGTATCTTCGAAACGGCTAGACCTGCTTTGTCCAAAAACTAATCAGCACGTCTCCTTATTAAAAAGAATTGAATCATTCAAATCGGTTGATCCGTATTCCCAAAGTCGTCGACGAAAATTTGTATCCGCACACACACATACATCACGAGTTCGAAAACTGATCACCGTTTTCCCTCATCATTACTAATTGAAAGTTTTTTGAATCATTAAAATCGAATGCTTAGTTCTCTCAAAATCTGCCATTTTTTGTACATTTAGCTCTGTATCTTCGAAATGGCTGGACCTTCCTTTCACAAAATCTAATCACCGCTTCTCCCAATCATTACAAATTGAATGTTTTTAGATCATACAAATCGGATACTCCGTTCTCTCAAAACTCTTTGCACTCTTTGCTCCGTATCTCCAAAACAGCTGGACCTGCCTTTGCGAAAAACTAATCACCACATCTCCCTACCTATAGGAATCGAATATTTTTTGAACTAATAATTTCACCAAATTCGGTTGATCCGTGCGCCCGAAAAACTGTATCCATACACCCACCATCAATTTTTTCTAAGGTATGACAAAATGTTCAGAAACAAGTGAAACGTGAAGAAATTTAAAAATTTCGACCTTTTTTCCAATCTTGTGTATATAGATAAGTGTTGAAATTTTTTATATGCCCCATGATCTTTGTATTTGATAAAATTGGATCAATCGTCTGAATTTTTCTTTCTAAGAACTGCGCATTCAAATTTTATTAAAATAATAATCATGAATAATTATAATCAAATTTATATATAATAATCATGCATAATATATTTTTCAAATATTAAAAATTTTAGTTTAAAAATACAATAGTAATAATAATACTAATGTAAAATTAGTGGGGCATCGTGCCTTAAGGCAAATTGCTGGATCTTCCCGTACCAAAAAAAAAAAAAAAATTTTAAAAGATTAACATTTTTGAAAAAAAATTACTCTGAAAAAATTAAATTTTTGAGAAACTATACATTTTTGTCAAAAATTTACTTTTTTTTGAAAAAAAAAACGACTTTTTGAAGAAAAATTTATTTTGAAATATTTTGGAAATTCTGAACTTTTTTCAAAGCAATCCAACTGCTTTTATAGGATAGAGATCGAAGCGCGTAAGCTTCGCGTCGCCGTCTAACGGATAAACATTTATAACTTATTAACAAAATTTATACTTATTGTTAAAATCTCTATAAAATATCTAATAATTTGATGTGCATATGTCTAATGATCATTTTTGACCGCCAAATGGCATTTTTTTTATTTTTTTCACTAGATCTCCGAAACCGCTAGGCCCGCCTTCATGAAAATTTGATCAGTTCTTCATCTTATTAATACAAGTAAAATGTTTTTTGAATTATTAAAATCGGACGCTCCGTTCTCTTAAAAACTGAGTTACCGTTTTGGCACGTTTTGCCCCTTATCTTCGGAACGGCTAGACCTGCCTCCGCCAAAAACTAATCAGCACGTCTCCTTATCAGTACGAATCGAATGTTCTTTGAATTATTGAAATAGGTTGATCGGTGTTTTCGAAAATGTCGACGAAAATTTGTATCTGCACACACACAGACACACATACACACAGACACACATACACACCACATACATTCAGAAACCTTTGAAACGTAAAGATATATAAAAATTTTCATTTTCGATTTTTTTGCGATTACTATAACTTGCCCTACGGGAAGTTAATAATAATGAATAATAAATATAATAACTTAAAAAATGATATTAAAAATTAAATTAATAATGTCTTATGTATTAATATGATAACAATTTGTGTTGTGTCATTTTTGTTTCATTGCACCTATTTTGTATACGTGCTTTTTAACTTCCCGAAGGAGAAGTTTGTTTTCATCAAAAAATCTGATTTGCTAATTTTATGTTTTCTCGATGTTTCAAACCATTCTGAATCAAATGAGACCAAATTTGGAAATGTATGTGTGTGCGATCAGAATTTTTACAGTAAATCGACGTTTTCTCAAAAACGACTGGACCGAGTTGAAAAATTTGAAAGCCAATCGATATATCTGGATGAGGACTATCGTTTGTCAGTTTTGCGCTACGATCAGTCGAACCGTTTCTTTGTAAATCGCAAAAAATTGAAAAAAAATCGTCCACGTTTCAGCCTGAGCGGTTTTCCTGTAATTATCTGTTGTAATAAAAATTTAAGCCGATTTTTATAGAACTCTTTTTGGCAATATATATATCATGGTCTTAAAGAACTTACTGAAATATTACGGCCTTATGACAAGTAGTTTAATTTTAAAAATTTATCAAAATTTGAGAAAACGAATAGTTTTTTTGACGTTTGTTAAAATTAAAATTAGATGATGTACTTGGTATAACGATAGAGTACTTGGTCTTAATGAACATACTAAACCATTAAAGTCCTACGGAAACTGGTTCAATTATAAAAATTATCTATTTTTGAAAATTTGCTTTTAGAAAATACTCAAGGTTAACGTGTTCGTTTGCTTTCAATTATGTGTAATAAATCCACTCAGAATACTTTTAATCACTCATAAATTAACTTATTTTTTATTGATTAAGTCGCAGTGGCGTAACTAGGCCATCCGGGGCCCGTGGCAAATTATTTTGATGGGGCCCCCCCATCAGTAAAATCAAGTGATTTTAATTTAATCAAAATAAAATCGAAACTTTTCAACGTGCTGATTTAAATGTTGTATATATCCACGATTTGTAATGAATTGTATTGAAAATGAGTAAATCTACTTCGACTTATTCATAGTTTATGGTTTTAAATCAAAAAATTATTTAAAATGTATGTATACAAAAATTTAAAACAAATTAAAATGTATAAGTACCAAAAACAAACATAAAAATAATTATAACCCAAAATTAATAATTTAAAAGTACAATTACTACTATGTTTTGAAAATCAAACATAATTTTTTTGTGTTTAAACATTGTAATACATGAACTATAGAAAGGAATTTTTTATGACTGAATTTAACAGAGAAAGAACATAGTACTTTGAGGTTAAAAATACTTATTATATAACCTAACATTAACAATCAATTTTTCACGTGTTTTCTCAACAATCTAATCCTTTTTAATACTTTTTTAAGATTTCATATTCGTCATATACTCGCTGGCCCTTTTTGGTGAACAAACCTATTTAAAAAATGCATAAATTTAGAATGAAATAAAAACAACAATTTAATTTCAATAAGGTATTTATTAATTAAAATCTTTTCTTCGTGCTTTCTGTTCTGCAAAAGTGTCTATAACATCATCAAAATTTAATGAACGAGCCATAGTATTTTCAATAGACAAGATAGCCAAGTTAGATAATCTGTGTTGTCCCATAGAGTTCCTCAAATAGTTTTTTATTAATTTTAATTTTGAAAATGACCGTTCAGCACTAGCTGTAGTCACAGGTATTGTAAGAAATAATAATAATGCAGTGCACATCTCGGGAAAGCTGCAGGACATAAAATGGTTTTTAATTAATAATAAATTGGCTAAGTCTTTAATACAGGAACATTTTTCTATTTCGTCTCTGAATGTTGATCGAAAACTAAAAATTTCTTTCGCAAAAGATTCAGATATATCCTTTTTATACACCTTAACAAATTCTAAAGCTTTTTTCATTATTTCAGTATCATTTAATGCTTTTAATGTTGAAGGCTGTAAAATACTGAAATTTGAAATAAGTTCACTCATTGGATAAAAACGCGATTTGAGTTGGTTAATTATGATGTCCAAAACTCGATAAAATATGTTCACTTTGAACAAACTTTCCGGATCTTGAAGACGCTCATCTTCGCAAAGCTCGCCAAAATGGCGTTTTACCTTCCTCTGACGAGTTTTGGAAAACTCAGGAGTGATGGACCATTTTTCTGCTATGCTATTAGCTTCTAGTTTCAGATTTTCAAAGTCATGCCGATACTTTTCCAACTCTTCCATGCAAATTTTCAAGCGTTTTAAAGCATTTGAAAGATCGGCGTCTTTAGATTGAAGTGCTTTTGATGTTGCATCGATGATTTGTAGGATCTTACAGTGGAAAACCAGTAGCATTACAAAATTAAAGTTTTCGATTTTCTTTTTAAGTGAAACAGCTTCATTTCTTTCATCTGATTTACAACTGAATAAGATTGTTTTTGCTAGTGCTTTTTGTACTTCAACAAAACGAACTTTTAAAGCAAAAACGGCATCATAACGTCCTGCCCATCTAGTAGGGTTCAATGTTTTGAGTGTTACTGCTGTTTCACTTTCGCTATTGGATATTAAACTTGATAAAATGTTCCATCTTTTAATGCTATGACCAAAAAAAATATAAATTCGTTGAACTGTTTCAAAAAAAAATTGCATATCAATAATCTCTCTCACTGCATCGTTGAGTACTAGATTCAAGTTATGAGCAGCACAGTGCACATATACGGCATTTGGCTCGACATCTTTTATTAATTTTTGAACTCCGCCATAAGTCCCTTTCATTGTATTAGCACCATCATATCCCTGCCCTCGACACTTATTTAAAGGAATATTTTTATCAGTAATAGATTTAATAATTTTCTTCGACAATCCTAAGGCAGTTTGATCCTTAACTTCATGAAATCCTAAAAATGTCTCCTTAATTACGAGTGCTTTTGGGATCCCATTTTCGTCTTTTTCGATCATACAGTAACGGTATAGTTCACACATTTGATCAGTTTTTGATATGTCTTGAGTCGTATCGAATATAATAGAATAGAATGGTGCGGCATTCATTTCGTTTATGGCTGCATTCTGTAGTTTTAAAGTCAGGACGGATATCAGCTCATTTTGTATTATTGGACTTAAATACTTTACTTGGCCCTTTGGCTTACTTACTAGTTCATGTAGTATAGGGTCATATTTTGCTAATAATTCAATAATACTCAAAAAGTTTTCCCTTGGAACTTGAATCTACATTTTCTCTATGCCCACGAAATGCTAAATTACAGGTTGAAAGAGTCAAGGTAACATCAAGAAGCCTCAAAAGTACTTGACGCCAAAAAGATTTTTCTTTTTTGATCGCAGATTCATGCCTTTCATCTAGTGTTCCATGTAACCGCCACTGCTGATATGTAATGCAAGAATCAAGATGAATTTTCGATATCTCGTGCCTTTGTATGGCTTCTACAATATGTTTCCAGTCATCAAAGCCCTCAATCCAAACATTTTGTAGTTGCCTACATGCACGATTAGCGAATAACCAGCACGGTTCACAATATGCCTTTTGAAGTTTTAAAGAATATGATAGCCATGTACGTTCAAGTTTCACGCCAGACTTGGAAATAATATAATAATGTTTCTCTGAAAAAGATCTATTGTCGCTATTTTTTAAGAAAGGGCCCTTAGGTCTACAATGTCCGTTTTCAATTATGAACCTTTTCACTTGATCATTGAGATCTATAAAATTACCTTTATCGGTAACATATGGCGATGATATTATTTTTTCCATGCAAAAATATAATTTACTAGTACCTTGCTGCGGTGTTTCTGAATTTAGATAGTCACTAGTGTTGGGTGCTGCATCTGGTAATTCAGATATACTTTTCGAAAGGTTAAAATCTTCACTTTTGGAGCACTGTTCACTCAAATTTTCTTTATTTAAGTCTTTATTTTTCAAATAGCTACTAATTTTAGGTAAGTTTTTATCTTTTTCTTCAATCTCCCTCTTTCTCTTTCGTTTTTCACACCCACTTAAATATTTTCTGCAGCTAGACCTTTCAAAATCAATATAAATTTTCACAATATATTCACAATTACTAACTTTCAAAAATCACATCCTCACATTAACGATACAAATCACTAACTAAAAAGAATAATCATACTAAGAATACGCAGTTAATAAGCCTATCTCTCGTATCTACAGTAAAGCACTTATAGAACAATAACAAATCCGAAATTCCTCACGCCTCATCAAGAAAAGTATAAACAAATTGAGTGTAAACAAACCCGACCATCAATACTTCGGTGACAAAATATATCGAAACCTTTCGTATACTTGAAGTAGTTACATTCTAAATTGAATCAACATCCTTTTCTTTAAAATGTGTTGAAATACTTAACGATTACTTTATTATGGTTTTTATTTGTCTCATGTTGGACTTTAAGAAGAACTTAAAATAATATACTTATCAGATGCATAGGGTGCATTGCTGGGCCCCCGTATTAAAAATTGTTTGGGGGCCCCCTCAGGTAGGGCAGACTTTTCATAAAAAAATTAATGACTCCAGTTGTGATATTTCAAACATACTAATCGAAGTCTCCGAAATCATTGTTTAGTTTGAGAAATTAATAGGTTTAATTAGCTATCTAAGCTACAATGTTTGAAAAATTCATTAGTTTAATTAGCTTTATAAGCTGCATGTTAAGTTTGATATTTTGTTTTTACAAACAGTTTTTACAATCCATTCCTTTGCTAATTCTTAAACAAACTACTAAATTAATTTTGATTTTTCAATTCGCATAATCTATTCAAGAAATGACTTAGTAAAAAACTAGTTGCATATTATAGAGCTTCATAAATATTAATAAAATGTTAAAAAAAATCACAACACTCTAAATTATATTTTTACATACTTACATGCTCATGGTTTTTTTCGAAATTAAATTTATTTAGAAGAAAATTTTCATGTTTATTCTAATTTTTGTTATTAGTGAAATAAAATCAAAATCTGTTAGATTTTATTAATTTTTACGCGTATTTGGAGCCCCCGTGGCCTGGACAAAATAAAACTCTTTAAAATAATAATCTTACATTCCTCGCGTACTTTTTTCACGCGTATTTGGGGCCCCCGTGGCCTGGACAAAATAAAACTCTTTAAAATAATAATCTTACATTCCTCGCGTACTTTTATCACGCGTATTTGGGGCCCCCGTGGCCTGGACAAAATAAAACTCTTTAAAATAATAATCTTACATTCCTCGCGTACTTTTTTCACGCGTATTTGGGGCCCCCGTGGCCTGGACAAAATAAAACTCTTTAAAATAATAATCTTACATTCCTCGCGTACTTTTTTCACGCGTATTTGGGGCCCCCGTGGCCTGGACAAAATAAAACTCTTTAAAATAATAATCTTACATTCCTCGTGTACTTTTTTTTACGCGTATTTGGGGCCCCCGTGGCCTGGACAATATAAACTTCTTTAAAATAATAATCTTACATTCCTCGCGTACTTTTTCAACGACATTATTGAACGAAGTTTTCATGATTAATTCGTTTTTAATGATTTTTTTATATAATTAATGTTTCTTACGAACGTTGGGGGCCCCCTCGTTCGGGGGCCCCGTATATTTGATACGGCTGATACGACGGTAGTTACGGCCCTGATTCTTACGACAACATACTTTTCAAGTGAAATAAAGTATTAGAGTATAATGTAAAAACAATATTTCTGAGCACGCGTCTTTTTGGGCCGGGGCCCCCTTGGGCCGGGGGCCCGTGGCATTTTGCCACCCACGCCACCCTATAGTTACGCCACTGTTAAGTCGATTATTTACACATATCGGGAGGTTCCTGTAACTTGCCTCAAGGCAAAATACCAATACCAAGTAGTTAAACTATTCGTTACGAAGAAACTTTCCAAAGTAATCAACTATTAGGTTTCAAAAGATTTATAAATTTTCAAAATCGGTTCAGGATTTATTGCAAAAACTTGGACGAAAAGTTTTACACTTTCTACTTTCTTATCTTTATCGAGTTACTCGAATGGCTTTTAAACTTTTAAAATCGGTGCAGCTGTTTTTGAAAAATTGTCAACAAAAGTTAAAAAATCGAGATTCATAAAAAGGCTTTCAGAAAGGATTGAAGCGCCAGAAAACCAAAATAGGAAATAGGATTTGCGAAAACATAATAAAGCTGCTCCTTCGAAAAGGTAAAAAGTATGCGTGTGTGACTACATGTTGACCTAAGCTTGACTTTTCATTTTCTCGAAAACGGCTGTACCGATTTCGAAAATTAAAAGACCATTTGATGCAACTCGTTAAGGACCCGCAAATTGAGTTGCGACTTGCGAAAGTATCTATTGAAGTATTATGATTAAAGCAAAACTCTGGCAAAAAGTACCAGTAGAGATGAAGTAGAATTTTCTCTACTTCATCTGGTGGTGATCGCAACAGTCCAATGCAGAAGATAAAGTGGACAGAAGAGGTGCCAAGAAAGATGAGATAAAAAAAACTCTACTTAGAAAGAAAAGGAAACTGGATCAGACCCATATTGCATAGGTGTGCATGATTCACGACATCGTCGAAGTAATATAGGACTGATGGAGCTAAGAAGAAGAAGAATGCAGGTGATTGGCAACTTACACAAGAGAAAAAAATACAGGGAACTGAATGCCAAAGGGTAGCATGGAAGCAGAAGTTAGGAAATGTTAATAACAATAATAATGATAATAAAAAGCCAAAAACTGCCATTTTTTGCCCATTAAGCCCGGTATCTCCAAAACGGCTGGACCTGCCTTTGCCAAAATCTAATCACCGCTTCTCCCCATCATTACGAATCGAATGCTTTTTGGATCATTCAAATCGGTTGATCCGTTCTCTTAAAAACTGACATTTTTTGCTCCATATCTCCGAAGCCGCTGGACCTGACTTTGCCAAAAACTAATATTTTATATCGGTTCATCCATACGCCCAGAATCGTCGACGAAAAATTGTATCCACACATACATACACATCTTTTTTTCTGAGGTATGCCAAAATGCTTAGAAACCTGTGAAACGTGAAGATATGCAAAAATTTTCATTTTCGATTTTTGGTCCAATACTTATCCTGCGGAAAGTTTAAAATATATAGTTATTACAAATGACAGATCAAACAATATATGAACTAGGTGTAAGTGACATTTTGCCTTAAGGCAAGTTAAGGAACTTCCTGATATGTAATAATTGAATTAAACAAATATTTAATTAATTTCGCGTGGGGCAAGTTATAGCAATCGCAAAAAAATCGAAAATGAAAATTTTTATATATCTTTACGTTTTAAAACCCTCTGAACATTTTGGCATACCTTAGAAAAAATGGATGTATGTGTGTGTGTGCGGATACTTTGACATTTCGTCTCTATGCAGTTAAAGCAGTACTATTGCCTTGAAAAACGTTCAGAATTTCTCCCACTAGTTTAGTATATAACCCACTTGTTTACCTGTCCAAGTGTATACCTGTCTAAATGTCAACTTGCTTACTTTTGTACATGTCTACCGGTCTACCTACATGCCTGTTAACCTGCCTACCAATCAACTTGTTCACTTTGCTACCTTTCTGTCTTACCATTTGCCTGCTGTTTACCTGTCCACCCGTCTACTTGCCCACTTGCTTCCTGTCACCTGTTTATAAATATTAACATGAATTGTAATCATTTCAGAGCATCAAATGCTAATCTTCTAACCTTCTCTCCTGCAACTCCAAAGCTGCTTGACCTGCCTTTGCAAAAATAAAATCAATCTTTTACTTCATCAATGCAAGTAAAATGTTCGAATAATTTGATCAGATGCTCTGCTCGATCAAAAGCTGCCATATTTTGCACTATTTGCTTCATATCTCCCATCCCACTGGACCTGTCTTTGCTAAAAACTAATCAGCACATCTTGCTGTGTATCTGAATTGAAAGTCTTTTTTTCATTTTTGCAGTATATTTCTTACTAATTATACATTATTATACATGCAAGTTGTTTAAATAATTAAATCCAGTTTAACAAATATGCTTATATTTCATTGATTTTCATCAGGCTTGGATATATTACCCACGGGAGGGTCGTGACTGTGAATAACCATATGTCTCTTCAGATTACTATATTGTGTAAATGTCTTCTTGCATACATCGCATTCATGAGGGCGTACTCCATTGTGCGTCAGCATGTGACCATTTCGATGACCTGGTTGTGTAAATGTCTTATTACAAATATTGCATTCATAAGGACGTACTCCATCGTGCACCAGCATGTGCCTTTTTAGATTAGCCGAATCTATGAATGCCTTATCACATGCACTACATTTATGAGGGCTTAATCCATTATGCATCAGCATGTGTTTTTTCAGACTACATGATAGTGTGAATGATTTATTACAAATATCACATTTATGGGGGCGAACCCCACTGTGCGTCAGCATGTGTCGTTTCAGACCACCTAATTCTGTAAATGTCTTATTGCATATATTGCATTCAAGAGAATGTTCTGCAGTATGCATCACCATATGACTGTTCAGATGACCTAATTGTGTGAAAGTCTTATTACAAATATTGCACTCATATGGGCGTAAACCACTGTGCATCAGCATATGTCTTTTTAGAGTAGCTGAAAGTGTGAATGTCTTATTGCATACATTGCATTCATAGGGGCGTACTTCATTGTGTAACAGCATGTGTGTTTTCAGACTACTTGATTCTGTAAAAGTCTTATTACAAATTTCACATTCATAAGGACGCACTCCATTGTGCGTAAGGAGATGTCGTTTCAGACTACTTGATTCTGTAAATGTCTTGTTGCATATGTTGCATTCATGGGAGCGCACACCACTGTGTATAATCATGTGACGTTTCAGATTACTTGATTGTGTGAATGTCTTCTGGCATATATTGCATTCATGAGGACGAACTCCATTGTGAATCATCATGTGTTTACTCAGAGAACTTGATGCTTTGAATGTCTTATTGCACATTTCACATTTATAACGACGCTCTTCGCAATGAATCAGCATGTGTTTTTTCAGATTACTTAATTGTGTGAATGTCTTATCGCATTCATTGCATCGAAAGGGTTGTTTTTCAGGGCTAGGATTAGGCATGTGATTGACCATATGCTCTTTTAAAAGATGTGATTCTGCAAATGATATATTACAAATGTTACATTCATAAGGGGATGTCTCGATTACCTCCTGTTTGACTTCTTCTTTTATAGATACTTCGGAATTCATAAATCTTTCTAAACATGTTTCATCATCCTCAGTACATGGTTCAGATTTGACAATAGCATCAAGAACACCATTTTCATCTTGAATTTCGCTTTTTATCTCTTCCACTGAATATTCCGGTGGTTCAATTTTAATTGCCTGAGCATTAATAGACATAATTCCTTCTTCTGACATTTTTAAATATTTTCACTCACCCACGTACACTCAGTATACATTCACAAAAATAGTTGTATGCTAAATAATAATATAGTTAATCAACAATCTTTTAAAAAGAGCTAATTATTTCAACTTTTACGTATTAATATTTGACATTTGAAGCATAGAGCATTAGAGTATGTTTTGAGAAAGATGAGACATTTATGAAAAAGAAACAAAAATTAGTTATGCGTATGCCCATAGATAAAAGATGAGTATAGACCTTATATTACAATATGTGTGACAGCAGCGCCAGATTTAATATTAACTACTTTAAAGGTTATTAAAGAAAGAAATGTTATAAATAATAATAAACTAGTGGGGCGCATGGCATCGTGTCTTAAGGCAAATTGCTGAAACTTCCCGTACCAATTTTTTTTTTAAAGATTAACATTTATGAAAAAATTATACTTTGAAAAAAAAAAATAGATTTTTGAGAAACTATAAATTTAAACAAAAATTTTTTTTTGGAAAAAAGGCCTTTTGAAAAAAAAAAGAGTGCGCGTAAGGATCACACGCGATTGAAGTAAAACTTTTAATATTGTATGAGTAGGCAATTAAGATAAAAATAAAAAAACATATTTGAATTTTAAAAATCATTTATTAATAATCACATAACATCAATAACACAGTTTAAAACAACATCGATAGATTAATTGCTATCATATTTCATATATGATATAATAGGTTTGTGATAACTAAAATGAGAGACATAAATTTTGCTTTGTAAACTATGTACATTTCTGGAGAAAATTAAATTTATTATTTAAAAAATCAATTAATGGTTGAGATTCTTCTGAACGAAAATTGACATTGAAATCTCCAGCAAAAATTAATGGTATCTCCTTGTGATTAGTGTTTAAAAGTTTTGCACCCTCATTAGAAAAATGAAGTAACTGCTGATGAAGCAATTTAATAATATTTGATATGTTTTTATTGGGAGAAATGTAAAGGACGACTATAATTAATGTTTGATTCTGTGTGTATAATATCACCTACTTGTGTAATTTCATTAGGAATATCCAGTAATATCGTTGGCGCAAGAAACTGCATAGGAGTCGCACTATGAAGAGTATCTGAACATGAATGATAGACAGCTACACCACCTGCTCTTGAGTCCGAATCCAAATTTCCGAAAATAACAAAAACGTACAACGTTGTAGCACTTTATCTTGCAGATCAGGCAAATGAGCTCGTAAACTTTGGCAGTTAAAGGAACACAATGAAATGTCGTTCAAACTTATTATCTCACTCAATTTTTCTTCTTGTGTTATTAATCTACAAGTTGAAAGTCTTTGGAATTCAGTTTTTAAGTTCATTAATCCTGCTGGCCGTTTTCTTCCATGATGAAATTTTTTGAAATGATGAACAATCCATTAATGCTGGTAACTCGTGATAATGCAACATATAGAAGCTGCTGATTATGTGTTTTATTGTATTCATATACAATTTTATCAAAAGTACCACCTTGTGATTTGTGTATTGTGAGTGCACAAGCAGACACTAAAGGAAAATGATTTCTTTTGACAAATATGATTTTATTTCTATTCATTGGAATAGATGAAGATCTCCTGAAAATCGGCACAGCTGTCCTACTGATATTAAGAGTTTGAATATAATGTGCAGCTTTCTTCTTATTTTGTTACCTATCTTACCAGGAAATTCAAACCATAAACGTAGAAGTTCATCATTATCGCCACGTTCTATGTACACTAATTTTCTTACACAACCATTAGCTAAGCCATCACTTACATCAATATTAGTTGTTATTATGTAAAATTTATTCAGAACTAAAATTATTTCATACGGCAAAACCCCGGTATCAATAACCGATTTTTGTGAAACTGCTGACGAGTGTATGATTGTTGATCTGTCGCATGGCAACCTACATAATTATCCGTGGCAGTAGATATTATTTTGTCTTCAACGAGATTCAGTATAAATTTATTATATTCCATGACACATTTATTCTCTAAGAAAAGTCTTATTCCATGAGGACATAACATAAAAAACGTGATTCAATTAATGCAAGTTCATATAGGGTTTAGCGCTCGACTTACGCATGACATGACGGGAGTGGATCGCGACTCGCGACATCAGCGCCTACGGCGTCGTAGTGTTCAACTTCACGTTGGCGTTTTCGTTGCATTTGTAAGGATTTACACCCGTGTAGCCTAAAGAAATTTTTACACCCATATCGCGCCTAAAGAAGTTTTACTTCAAAATGTTTTCTTTATTTTAAAATATTTTGGAAGTTTTGATTTTTTTTTCATAACAATCGTGCTGCTTTAACTGCATAGAGACAGAATATAGAAGCGCGTAATCGCCGCGTCGCCGTCTAACGGAACCGATAGGAATGTAAACAAAATTTATACTTATTGTTAAAATCACTATAAAATATCTGATAATTTGATGTGTTGTGATCATTTTTGACAGCCAAATGGCCATTTTTTTTTCTTTTTTTAATAAATCTCCGTAACCGCTAGATCTGCTTTCATGAAAATTTGATCTTCATCCTGTCCATACAAGTAAAATGTTTTTTGAATTATTAAAATCGGACGCTCCGCTTTTAAAAACTGAGTTACCGTTTTTGGCATTTTTTGCGCCGTATCTACGAAACGGCTAGACCTGCCTATGCCAAAAAATAATCAACACGTCTCCGATTCAACAACAATCAAAAGTTTTTTGAATAATCGGAATCGCTTGAACCGTGTTCCCGAAATCGTCGACGAAAATTTGTATCTGCACACACACACATACACACACAGCATCCATTTTTGTAAGATATGCCAAAATGTTCAGAAACCTTTAAAACGTAAAGATATATAAAAATTTTCATTTTCGATTTTTTTGGCGGTTACTATAACTTACCCTACGAGAAGTTAATAAGTTATATTAAAAAAGTGAAAGTTGAATAATTATTGACTTTTTAAAATTTACTTCAACGTACTTGAAACACATGTAAGTGATAACAATAAATAAAGAAATGCAGTAAACATTTATAAGATTAAGTTGCTTAAAACTTTTATCAAAATATCAGAATAGTTCTTAAAAACAAAATTATGATAATGATAAAAATATTTGGCTCAATCGAATAAGTAATTAATGATTTAATTTACTCACTTTTTCATTATTTTTGGTCAAACTCAATACTTGAACAATATTATAAAAACAGGAATTGAGTCCATCATCTATCAAATAAAATTCCAGCCGGAAACAATGATCAAGGGAAAAAAACTTTATTATAACTTTTCGAGAATTGTAAATTGAAGGAAATATTGTTGGAAAGAACTCAACATCTCTTCTAATTTTTTACAACCAATGTTTTTTTATCATCCACTACAAGTGCAATCATATGGCTTGGAAACCCACGGTTATTCATCAACACTACAAATATATATTTTTATTATTTCAGCATTGTATTAATTAAACTGTTTGCAAAATAAACTCTGTGATAACTTTTATTTTTCTTTTAATCATTTAATTAAAAAATATATTTTTAATTTAATTAATATATATGTAATAATTATATATAATTAATATAAAATATACAAATTTATATTTTTCAATATTTCAGCCCTAAACTGTTTGCAAAATATTTTTTTAATCATTAAATTTTGATAAGATGACTCATAAATTTTCTTTTTGCTAAACATAACAATTTGTAATACTCCAAATTGTTTTTTTATACCAATAATATTATGATACTATGAAATGGTATTTCAGTTTTTAAGATAATGGAGCGTCCGATTTGAATAATTGAAAAAACCTTTTACATGTATTGGCAAAATGAACAAGTGGTAAAATTTTTGTAAAGAGAATGTAGCGTCTTCGGAGATCCATTGAAAAAAGTAAAAAATAATACCATTTGGCAGTGAAAAATGAACATTAGACATACGTATTATACAAAATTATAATGGTAATTTATTATTTCGACTGCAAATCAGCTATGCAACGTGATTGCCTAAAAATATGTACAAGATAAAAAAAATTAAAATACAAAAAAAAATCTAATTTTTCAGAAATAAAATCAATTTTTTGCTTCGTCAATGCAAGTAAAATGTTTGAATAATTCGAATCAGATGCTCCAATCTATCAAAAACTGCCATTTTTGCACTACTTGCTTCATATCTCCGAAACAGCTGGATATGTCTTTGCTAAAAACTAATCAGAAAGTCTTGCCATGGTTTTGAAACAAAAGACGTTTTTTTTAAGTTTACTGTATATTTCATACTATTTATACATTTTATTATATCCAAGAATATTTTATAACATGTTTCCAAAAATATTCAATCCAATTTATCAAATATGCTTAAATTCCATTGATTTTCATCACGCTTCTGAATATGGAGTGTCATGTGTTTTTTCAAATTGTTCACTGGGGTAAATTTCTTTCTGCATATTTCACTCTCTTGTATGAGTCAGCATGTGATCTCTTAGATGACCTGGTTGTGTGAATTTCTTATTACAAATATTGCATTCACAAAGGCGTGCTCCACTGTGCATCACCATGTGTCTTTTCAAATTGCTTATTTGTGTGAATCTCTTCTGGCATATATTGCATTAATGGGAGCGTTCTCCATTGTGAAGCAGCATGTGTTTATTCAGACTATCTGATTTTTTAAATGTCTCATTGCATATTTCACATTTAAGAAGGCGTTCTTCTGCATGGATAAGAATGTGTTGTTTTAAATTGCTGTTTTGATAGAATGCCTTATTGCATATGTCACATTTAAAAGGGCGTTCTCCTGAATGAATAAGCAAGTGTCTTGTTAAATGGCATTTGCGATGGAATGCCTTATTGCATATTTCGCATTTAAAATGGCGTTCTTCTGTATGAATAAGCATGTGTGTTGTTAAATTGCCTTTGCGATAGACTGCCTTATTGCATATTTCACATTTAAAAGGGCGTTCTCCTGAATGAATAAGCAAGTGTCTTGTTAAATGGCATTTGCGAAGGAATGCCTTATTGCATATTTCGCATTTAAAAGGGCGTTCTTCTGTATGAATAAGCATGTGTGTTGTTAAATTGCCTTTGCAATAAAATGCCTTATTGCATATTTCGCATTTAAAAGGGCGTTCTTCTGTATGAATAAGCATGTGTGTTGTTAAATGGATTTTCTGATAGTATCCCTTATAGCATATTTCGCATTTAAAAGGGCGTTTTTTGCTATGCCTATGCATATGATCGACCATATGATGAAATTCTGCAAAAGATTGATAACAAATTTCACATTCATAAGAAGATGCCTCTATTACCTCCTGTTTGACTTCTTCCTCGATGGTCACTTCGGACTGCATGAATCTTTCTAAACACGTTTCATCATCCTCGGTAAACGATTCAGTTTTGACAACAGCATCAAGAACACTATTTTCATCTTCAATCTCGCTTTTTATGTCATCTACTGAGTAGTCTGGTGGTTCAATTTTAATTGTCTGAGCATTAATAGACATAATTGTTTCTTCTGACATTTTTAAATATTTTCATTCACTCATGTATACTCAGTAAATAATCACAAGTGAGTACTAAATAATAACCTTTATAACCTATATCAATAAACTTTTTAAATAAATTCACATGTGATATTTGACATTTATTTAAACCATTGAGTTTTCTCAAAGATGAGACATTCAACTGAGAGCATAGATAAAAGCAGAAGATAGGATTATCTATCGTTTCTCATTACCGATACAGAGCGCTAGTTAAGGAGTCGGGCGTGATCATAGATAAATAAGCATAAATAGATCGCTATCTCGGGCCATTTGACGTTACACTCATTTTAATTTACGAATAGATCACTACATGGCAGCACATGTACATACAGTACGTAAATTAACCCCTGGTATTACTTCTACATTTGTACATAAAATCCATACAGCCCAAAAATCTGAAAAAAATTATTATTTGAAATAAGAACTAAACATACGAAATATAAAATATATTTTCAAATATATCACAGACATACTTTTGAAGAATTATAAACTAAACAGAAATAACTGACTACTATTAATTAAAGTATATTACAGACATATTTTTAAAGTACTTATTCTATTAGTATTCTAGAAATAACTTATTCATATTAATTACTGAATGACTAATAATAATATATTAAAAACTTAAAAACTAAGAAGTAAAAAGCGCAGGAGTATTGATGATGGAATGACAAATTTAGAAGGAATGACAAGTAATGCAATAATTTAAAAGGATAAAAAGAACAGCACATTTTTAAAAAAGAATGAATACTTTCAAACAAAATAATCCTAAAAACAATATATATATATATATATATATATATATATATATATATATTGATATCCAAATTGAGATAAAACTAAATTCCTAGGATTAAAATTCATTTACGAGACATTCTTGTTTGTTATCTCTCCATTTAATAGTTATTTTGCTATCTAATCAATCATTAATAAAGTTATATTTGACGAAATCTTTGAATAGTTTCTGTATAAGTGTTTTTTTAAACGTAAGTAACCAAAACTCTGAACTACTTTTAATTTATACCAATTGTAGCTCAAATCTATCTATCGTTTTAATCCAGTTTTTATTGCAAGGAGGTTTAATTAAAACTATAACTAAACCCTTGCGCTTTATAAACTGTCTGGTCTTTGAGTATACTCTCTTAATTGAGACATTATCAAAATTCTTGCCCTTACATTTTAAGTTTCCGGAATATTTGAAAACTTCTCAGAACATTGTATACTCTATTGGAATTTATCCTTTAAATTATTGCATTGCATTTTAATCCCGAAAAAAAAATTTGATGTATCATCTTCTGGGTGTTAAGGCACTCCTACGCCTTATCATTGCATTCTGCGGCAATTTGCAGCTACCATCAAGGACTTCTATTGAATATATTGTTATATCATATTAATTGATTGAAGATATTGTAATTATCATATTAAATATTTTTGCTGCAATTAGTATGAAAAAATACCTTTTCGGAAAACTGGTGTCAGAATAGGTGACTTTTAACCTGCACTTCACAATCTTAGAGGTGCTGCAAAAATCTTTTTCAAGGTGTTTAGGCTTCCATCTCCTAAGAACATAAGATTCATTTATTAATATTTTTTTGCAAATGTTATTGAAGTATTTAGAGTTATAATTACTTGGCTTTGTCCTTGGAGTTGCAGATTTTTCTTCAGGTTCTGTATCAGAGCATTCTCCAGTGACTTGAAAACTATTCTATTATTGCCGTAAAGGAGACACTTCTATTTGGTTTCGATTTAAAATTATCGTTGATTTGTGCCACAAACCAAAGAGTTAGGTCATCCATTAAAAGATTATTCGCCCTCTGCATCCAAATTGAAAGCATCTTTTTACACACAAATATATATAATATATATTTACAAAAATATATATATATATATATAACATTTTAATAGTATTTTCATGATACATATTCATTATATGCATAATACATCATTATGTACATACCTGATAATTAGATGCCGGAAAGACATGCATTTTTTTATTATATTTGGGGTTATAACAATTTGGCACATAACACTTTATCATTTTAACTTAATAATAAATGAAAAAAGTATTCACCAAAACATAATCATATATAAACAATCACAGAAAATCTCAACTACAATACGCGATGACAACTTGACAACTTATAGAAGATGGCCGATCAAATCAATGTAGATCAAGCCAGCCAAAGCCAGCTGCTAGATCAATGAAATTGGAAATCGTAGCGCCATCCTTCGAACTATTCAAATACCAATCCATTTCAAAACACGGTAATCTACATTTGTTCGGAGATTACCGGCCATGGGCGTGATGGTGGCGCTGCATAGACCTTATACAATTTCATGGACTGCTAATCCCATAGACCTTATACAATTTCATTGTATACAATTGTATTGTATAAGGTCTATGGCTAATCCCCATACATTTCTCAAGTAAAAAAGTGTCAAAAGATGTTCTATGGTATGAGGGCAAACGAGGGTAGTTTTGCGGCCGAGATATGTCAAACTCGATCACTTGAACGTCAAATGAAAGTCCTTGTGTTCGAAATTGTTGGGAAAATATTATATAATATACAATTTATGTTAAACTAATGAATGTAATGAATTATTTATATATTTATTTATTTATTTTAGTTATACAAAGTGTTTAAGAAAAATAAAAAAAAAATTAAAAAAATATTTTACGTATTATAAAATTCACTGAAAATAAGAACAGTTGGCTAGAGCTATTATGGGAAATTAGAAAGCAATAATGAAATATTTGTTTAAATGCGATATATTTATTATTGGTGTTTAAAAAGCACAATTTTTGTGTGAAAGTGGCGTACATATTTATCAACTTTGCTTTTTTTATGTTCTTCATGGTGCATTCTAATTGTTAAATACATTTTTGCGACAAAGTTGATAAGGTCATGATAGTGCTGGACAAATTGCTGGAAATGGCTTGATCTAAAAAAATGTGCAAGTCCCAAGTCATTCAACTTTCGGAGAATCGTGCTTTCATATGAACTTTTGTACATTAAATTTAAAGAATTTCGAATTTGGGTTTCTATATATAAACATAATTTAAACATTGCATTGGAAGGATATGAAAGATATCCTCGATTTTTTATATCGATGAATGTCGAATTTCCCGGAATACTTGCGAAGCATTCAGAACAGGTTTTACTGCAATCAGGAACTTTACCACAGACCAAACACATTTTAGAAGACATTTTACTTTTAACAATTTTATAACAGGTATATTTTTATCCTCTTTTAGTTTAAAAACCCGAGCGATCAAACATCACGTGAACCCAAGTAACTGTAAAATTTAAGCGATCGAGTGCATTCGAATAATCTCGGTAAAGCTCGTGTTCGTATTTGACATATCTCGGCCGCAAAATTACCCTCGTATGCCCTCATACCATAGAACATCTTTTGACACTTTTTATGCGCTCAACTAGCAGTCCATGTATTGTATAAGGTCTATGTGGCGCTGTCATAGACCTTATACACCATAGATAAACAAGTATAAGTTGAAGTATAAGTAATAAATAAGTATAAGTATAAGTTATATACAATGTGATCATCATAGATAAGTATGTATAAACGATGAACGCCATAGATAAATAAGCATAATGGTGAACGCATTCAATTTTTTTTTATTATTATTATTTTAATAATTTTTACAACTGTCCTGCAACGGACAACAAGTAAAATATTTCACATAAAACTGAAGGCGTTGGCAAATTACAAATGGTTCATATATACAAGCAAATAAGTTTATCTCACCAAACAGTTACACGTAGAATTGATGATATTTTAATGAAAATTTTTAGCAAACGTCAACAAAACTACTCATTTTCTCAAACTTTGATGAATTTTTGAAATTAAACTACTTGTCGTAAGGCCGTAATATTTCAGTAAGTTCTATAAGACCTGATATATATCGTCAAAAAAGTTCCATAAAAATTAGCTCAATTTTTTTTCAACAGTTAATTACAAAAAAAACGGCTCGGTAGATTTTCACCTAAAACTAATCATTATCGTTCCCAACAAATATCTTTCAAATAGTTTTTGAATTTTTATAATCGATTCGGTAGTATGAGCTTAAATATTGACGAAAAGTTTAACACTTTATTACAAATTACAAAGAAACGGCTCGGCAGATCGTCGTACAAAACTGACAGCCTATAGTCCTTATTGAGATACATCAAATGGCCTTTGAATTTCTAAAATCGGTTCAGGCGTTTTTGAGAAAACATCGAACAAAGAACTAATTTTGACAAATGCCAAAAAACGATACTAATTTTTGCAAACTTTAAAGAATTTTTAAAATTAAATAACTTGTCGTAGGGCCGTAATAATTCAGTAAGTTCTATAAGACTATGGTATCTACCGTCAATTTTTTTTTAACACTTCATTAGAAGAAAACGGCCCGGCCGATCTTTACCAAAAACTAATTGATAAACGCTAGTCCTCAGCGAGATACATCGAATGGCTTTAAAATTTTTGAAATCGGTCCAGTCGTTTTTTGAGAAAACGTCAATTTGCGGCAAAAAATCTGTTCACACAAACACACATACTTTTTCCAAATTTATTCTCATTCGATTCAGAATGGCTTGAAACGTCGGGACAACATAAAATTAACGAATCGATTTTTTATGAAAACAAATTTCTCCTTCGGAAAGTTAATAATAAATGAAAATTACCTCCGGTTTAACAAAAGTGATTTTGTTCAAGTTGACTCAGCAATAAATGGCGCATCTAAAGCAAAAAACCTGTAGACTTCGAATCCAAAACTGCAAAACTAAGATTATTTATAAAAAAAAACTTGGAAAAAACTGTAGATCTACAGTTTAAACTGTATCTTGGCAACAATTGTCGCCAATGCTGCCAACAATTAAATTCGTTCTGGCACTGTCACAAAATGGATGCCCTCGCGCCATTGTTGACAGTTTTGACAATCAACACATCAAAATATAAGATTCGATGTTGACACTACATAACTTATATTAAAACACATTTGTATTATTTTGTAACTAGTTTATAATTTATATATGAAATTATTTATGTATTTAAAATGTCAGAAGCTACGACTTCTTGTGGATCCGATCAAGTAGTGAAAGTAGAACCAATAGATTACTCAATACAAGAAATTGCTGATGAAAATGGTGAAGAGTCAGAAAACGAGCCTTCTGAAGAATTCCCTTATCCCGAAGTAACTTTAGACGAAGATGTAAGAGAAACCAGCAACAAAACCAACCAGGAACAAACATTTCAACAATTTAGTCTCGAAGCATTAAAATGCTTTGTTTGCAAAAAACATTCTCAGACTCTGCACAATTAACAAAACATATGAACACCCACACTAAACAATTCAAATGTGAAACCTGCAACAAAGAGTTCAACCACATAAAAAAATTGAGGCGACACAAGTCAGTACATGGAGAACGGCCTCATAAATGTACTATATGCAGTAAATCCTTCCCCTTTGCAAGCAATTTAAAAAAACACATAGCCATCCACACTGCAGAGTACTCCTACAAATGCGATGTATGTGAAAAATCCTTCACCCGTGCTGATAATTTAAAACAACACATCTACACGCACACCGGAGAACGGTTTTACAAATGTGATATGTGTGATAAGACGTTCACCCATTCTGGGCATTTAAAGACTCATCTAGTTACCCATACCGGGGAAAGACCTTATAAATGTAAACTGTGTGATAAAGCGTATAGTTTTTCGATTAATCTAAGAAGACATAAGTTGACTCATACAGGGGAAAGACCGCATAAGTGTGAGATTTGTGGTAAGGGATTCACGCAATCTGGACATTTGAAGACGCATATGGAGTCTCATGCTAAGGAGAGTCGGTATAAATGTGATTTGTGTGATGAAACATTTGCTTATATTAATGCTCTGAAAAAACATCGGAGGGTACACAAGAAGAAAAAATCAGAATTGTAATATATATATATATATATATATATATATATATATATGTATTTGTTGATGGTTTTGTCGATGTTTATACATATTTAAAGTTTTTTGCAGTCCAATTTTCAAATTAAAAAAAATAGTTATTATAAACAAATTCTTTAAAAAAACGTTTTAACACTTAATGTGTGTCATCATTCAGTAATCAAACCACGAAAAACACAAAAACATAATATTTATTATAAACACATTATTGTAAAAATAAATAATTAATTAACTGAACAAATGATATTGATTCTGTATCGTTGTTGATTCAACGTTGTTGTCAACGTTCTTGAGTTTTCAAATTGGGGCATTATATCCTCCTTTAATTTTGTTGTTTCATTAATTATTTATTAGTTATGATGTTTTTTACACAATTTTATTGCTTATAAATTTTTATGCTTTTCTGGTTTATGCTTTCCCAGTAAGTGTCGAAATGTTTATTAAAGAAATTCTCTATATTAACCCCTGTTTTTAATTTGACGATTGGGTTGCAAAATACTACAAATATATATATATATATATATATATATATATTCTTAAAGTGATAATAATATTATTTTTGTAAATATAGATATACTGCAATATTATTCATTAATTTATTTATAATAAATAAAAGTTATAATCATTTTGAGATTATGGTTTGTCTTATCGTCAATGTTAACTAAAATTTTGTTTAGTATAATGGTACCCCGAAAGGAGCGGTTTGTTACTTTGATATACGAGCAAAATTTGAGATACAATTTTCAATTGTGTAATAATTTTCTAGAAAAAAGTTGATGGTAAAATGAAAATATTAATAATATCATCAGTAATAACAATAATTTTCCTATGATAGAATTATTTTGGCTGTTTTATGATAGTGAATTATTTTATATTTAGTCATTTCAATTATTTATAAGCAGCTTTCTAAGCTCGAAAAGCCCTTGAATGAAAGTGCCCCCGAAACAGTTGCAACAGTTTGGGAATCTCTTTGAATTGCTCAACGAAGCATGTCTAACTCATTTCTTCAATATCATAAATGGGCAGGAAAAAAACAATAAGAAAAATAGTAAAGTTATTTCAGATATTAAAAAACCTTATCATAACCACCCTGCTGAAATGAATGAATGACGTTTTGGTTCCATTATATGGAAAATACTGCTTCGACATACGAGCGTGGTTATGAAATGAATTAAACACAAGGGTACCACTGTATTTAAAAAGCATTCAATATGTTTTCTTGATAAAGCTATGATTATCAATTGCTACAAAAAAATTGAGTTTACCTTAATCAAAAAACGTTCAGCAAATATTGAATTAATTTTTTGTAAAAAGAGCTGACTCAACAACAGCAGCCAATATGGATGCATTACACAGTCATACACTTTAATTTTGTTATCATAATAAGAAAAGATTGTTTTGTTTTAATTGAATACATTTTTTTCTTATATTTTGTATGAATGTGAAAAAATTATATTATTTAGCATAAGTACCTAATTGTGATATTTGACAAACTTTATGCTAAATAAATGAAAATCAATTAATTATGATTATCAGTTAAATATTAAATTGTTTCCTTATTTTGTTTTTTTTTTCAACTTCCCCGAAGTTCATATTGTTAGCAGAAAACCAAAATTTTATGTTTAGTCATTTTGAATTGTTTGAAGCCAAAATTGAAAAAAGTACGTGTTATTATAAGAAAAAAAGGTTGCTGTTGGCAATCAGCGATTATATAAAAAGCTTAATTAACAAAATATCATTTTATACTTATTTTCAATTTCCCGTAGGGTAAGTTATAGCAATCGCAAAAAATCAAAAATAACATTTTTGATTTATCTATAAATTTTAGATGTTTCTGAACATTTTGGCATACCTTACAAAAAATAAATGTATGTGTATGTATGTAGTATTTATTTGTGTATGTTTGGATACAATTTTTCGTCCACGATTTTGAAAGCATGGATCAACCGATTTGAATAATTAAAAAAACATTCGATTTGTATTGATGAGGAGACGCGCTTACTAGTGTGTAGTATGTATGTATGTTTTGGATACAATTTTCCGTCCACGATTTCGAGAGCACGGATCAGCCGATTTGAATAATTCAAAAAAAAATTGATTTGTATTGATGGGGAGATGTACTGACTAGTTTTTGGCTAAGGCAGGTCTAGCCGTTTTAAAGATACAAGGTAAAAATGGCAATTTTGTGAGAACGGAGCGTCCCATTTGAATGACTCAAAAAACATTCGTTTCGTGTTCGGTGGGGAGACGTGCTGATTAGTTTTTCACAAAGACAGGCAGCCTTTTTTAAATACGCGGTAAAGAACAACTAAAATGACAATTTTGTGAGAACGGAGCGTCCCATTTGAATGATTTAAAAAATATTCGATTCATATTGATAGGGAGACTTGCTCATTAGGTTTTGCCAACGACGAGCTCAGTTCTTTCGAAGATACGGGGTAAAAAGTATTAAAAATAGCATTGCGCCATGCACCACTAGTTTTCCAAATTTTCAAAAAATTATAGAGATTTTTAAAACATTTTAATTTTTGATACGGGAAGTTCCAGCCATTTACCTTAAGGCACGATGCCATTCACCACTAGTTCATACATATATTTTAATTTTACACAGTATAAACTCTATGGTGACAATTCTGTGGCAACACAGTCGATTACCTAGCGTTGTTATGGCAACGCTAACTTATCCTTTTTTATGGAAGTAAAAACTGTGAAAATGCTATCTATTTGATGTGCAATCAGGCGTATTTTACATATAAACAAGCAAGGAAGAATGCTATGATAAGTGCATCTTTAAGATGCGCATTTATAATATACTGTATTATGTGTAAAACACCTGATAGTACAGCAATTACATAGCATTTTCACAGTTTTTAGTACTAAAAAAAGGATAAAAAAAGAAGTATTTTCACAGTTTTAGTACCAAAAAAGAAGGATAAGATAGCGTTGCCATAACAACGTTAGGTTAACGCAGAATTTGCCTCTATATATATCATAAATCTTCGTACATTAGTCCTCAAAACAGTAGTTTAACTCTTCAAAAACAACTCTGCTGCAAGGCAAAAACCATAACCAAGTTCTTTGTAAAAAAAACTTCAAATTAAGAAAAAAATGGCTGAAGCAAATTATATAATAAAGTTTAATACAAAACACACGTATTGTATTCCTCACAAACTTCCAGCTTCTAGCACTAGAAGTTTCACTTCAAAAATATATATCTACTTTTGCATATTTTTATGATTCGGATCATAGATAAAAGATAGATCAATCATAGATACATAAAAATATTGTTACACTATTCAAAATATTGCTATCTCATTATTATTTTTGACACTGAATTTATACCACAAGACTTCCATACCAAAAACGCAAATACAAACCCCGCAACACACTAACCAGGCACAAAAAAATAAACGCAAGGTCTTTAAATTTATAAACATTGCCATCAGTAGAACTTGTATGTCTATATCGAACTTCCTTTTGCCTATTTATATCATAATAAACATCGTCTCTCCATTTTGGCATCAGACCACTCTCTCTGATTTTCATCAGAACAAAATTGAATCTGCCTCTGTAAGGCGAGTGGGATGGTATCATATGAGCACTGTACCTATTCCTAGGAGCATCTGTTAAAACATGCAACAACTTTTTACCAGTTTTAGGATCTCTGGCATTGAGTTCATTAACTTTGCAACCCATCAAACTGTACAACATGGCAGAGTCCCTGACTTCGGCGACTCGCCTCAGTAGTTCAGATTGGTCGTCGATGAGTTCTTGGCGGCTGTATAAATCCATGAAGTATTTAGGAGAGTCTTCAGCGTACGCTATGTCTTTTAACAGTTCCTTAAAACCCGTGACAGTAACTACTTTTAAATTTGTGTTGGCCAAGTCTTCCATGGAATAAATGTCCAAAGATACAACACTAGTCGTCAAGTGTTCAACCATGGTAGCTTGGTACGTGAAAGTGTTCACCATAGAGAACAGTATTAAACCAGAATATAAACAACGTTCGTGCAACAAATCTTTACCAGGTTGTGACACCAGAATGTAGTTTCCAAATGTCCATAAGGATACACCAACCAAAGTCGAAGTTGCGTCCTGTCTATTATGCAACTTTTCCAGCAGTCTCCAAATTGCAACAAAGACAAAATAAGATATTCCTAAGAGTATTGATGCTTGCCAGCTGTAAATTTCCAAAAACGAGACAGTGGATGCTTCTTCCATTTTTGGAACAATGAAAGCCAAGTCCATTGTGTCTGGGGGAAATAAAAATTCGGAGTTTTTTTGTCCGTAGTCTTTTACGGGGCGTAAATTTGCTGCAATGTCAGCATCACCATTGTCTATATCTTTCAAAGAACCTGAAGAAGGAAAATATTTTTACTAAAACTATGCGTGAGTGGTATTTCGACTTAAGACAAGTTGCATAATGTTCCCCATATGTGTAAATAAACTTATTTAGTTCAATATTTTCTTGTTTTTCAATACTTTCATTCAACTTGTCTTAAGGCGAAACTCCACTTACTACTTTTCCTTCAATTCATCTTACCAGTTATGCTCCCATTAGGCTTCTTGTGTCCATAAGGAACCCCATCCTTTGGAAAAACATAAACAGGATCAAAATTCGAGGCTTTAGCCAATGCATTTATAATTTCACCATCTTGCAATTTAAATTTCTTAATAGTTCCATTAACATAAACATCAGGAGCAGCCGTGCCAGGATTGATAAAAATACAAATCTTCAAAGGATATTTATGGACATCCCACAAACGCGTTTTTAGAGATAACAAAATGTCTTCAACAATTTTATGATTATTTGCTAATTCGAAAGTGAACGTTTGTCCTCTGATGGTAGAACCTTGTAATGGCAGAAATGGATCAAGAATTGACAATTTTAAACGTAAATTTTCTTCCAAGTTGCAGAAGATGATGTTCATCATTCCGTAAATGTGCCAGGATGTTTCTAGAAATAGTTGTCCTTCCAATTCTGATGAATTTGTGGCTAAGAAGATGGCTTTTGCGTTTCGATCGCGATTGTAAAGACGTTCTAGTCGTGATGAAAATGTTTGTAAAGAGTTGGCAACCACGATGTAGCCGTTTGTGGTTCTGGGGCGGAATACTTGGTCTGTGTCTACAGTTGTGATGTTTTGAAGATTTCTAAAAAGGTAATAAAATCGATTGCTCTTTAATTAACGCAGTACATGTGGTGGAAACAATTTCTATAAAAACAAATCCAAAAACAAGAAACTTGGAAAAAGATACTAAAACTACATGATTTTTAAATTTTGTTATTTCGTAAATTTATCGAATAAGTTCAACAATAACACACAGATAAGAGAAAAATACTGATGATACACAAACATAAGAAAAAACAAAAAGTATCAGTTAAAAAATGACAATAAACTACGTATAAACATGAAATTCTAGTAAGATGATCTTTCAATCTATGGAGATAATAATGTATTGATATCATTTATTCCTGGCTTTTGTTTCTGCGGCAAAGTTTACTGAAACGATCCATATAGAACTAAAATCGCAATAAACCCTAATGTACAAATAATATAGGTTTCAATCGGTCTGCTCAAAATAGGGTTATCTAAAGATCTTATTTAAGAAAGTAGAAGTATCGTGAAGATCTTCTACCACGCCATATTTGATCCTCCTAAATGGGGATCAAAATCACAGCTCTATGGCTTATAGAATATAACTGTTCTCATTGCCATTCAATGAGAAAAAATAGGGTTATGGTGAAGATGAGAAAAGATAGGATTATGGTTAATTCAATGAGAAAAGATAGGGTTATGGTGAAGATTCTCCAAATATGCAAATTGATAAGTTGCGAGAAATGCCAATGACCCACAAGAGGTTGCAGTAAACTCCTGACAGAATTTTGCAATACTTCCAAAATGTGTTCGTGGTAATGAGAAAAGATATGGTTATGGTAAAGATGAGAAGAGATAGGGTTATGGTTTATTTCAATGAGAAAAGATAGGGTTATGTTAAAAATTCTCCAAATATGCAAATTGACAAGTTGGGACAAATGCCAATGACCAACAAGAGGTTGAAGGAAACTCCTGACAAAATTTTGAAATACTTCCAAAATATGTTGGTGGTAATGAGAAAATATAGGGTTACGGTGAAGATGAGAAAAGATAGAGTTATGGTTAATTCGATGAGAAAAGATAGGGTTATGGTGAAAATTCTCCAAATATGCAAATTGGCAAGTTGGGACTAATGCCAATGACCCACAAGAGGTTGCAGGAAACTCCTGACAGAATTTTGAAATACTACCAAAATATGTTGGTGAAACCATGATTCTGTTATCAGTTGTTTTTTGTTAGACTATTCCAGATATATCTCCTCGATTAACAGCTGCTGACGAACTGAATCTATAACTTAGAATTATCTAATTTTTGGCAGGAGGTGAAGAAATTTCAATGAAAGACTGTCATGCAAACCTCTGTTAGAGACAGAGACAAGATCAGAGTGAGACAAAGACAAAGATGCAGTGGGAGAGACAGAGACAGCGATAGAAAAGGACAGAGAGAGTTTAATTACTGCATACTCATTACTGATTATTAACATTTCATTATTAGAGACAAAGTTAGAGGGAGACAAACAGAGAGTGCAACAGACAGAGATAGGGTGATAGGCAGAGAGCAAGGACAGAGACAGAAAAAGACAACAAAAGATAGAGATAAAGATAGAGATAGATATAGAGATAGAGACAGTGACTAGAACACAGTGAGACAAAGACAAGAACACAGTGAGACAAAGATAGAGAAAAGAGAGATAGTGTAATAACTTCATGATCATTATCAATTATTAACAATTTATTATTAGAGACAGAGAAATAGACAGTCCAAGAATGTGGAAAAGAGACAGAATTAGAGCGAGAGAAACAGAGAGTACAACATACAGTGATAGGGTGACACACAGAGCGTAGGAAGATAGAGACAGGAAAAAACAACAAAAGATAGAGATAAAGATAGAGAAGATATAGAGATAGAGACAGTGACTAGAACACAGTGAGAAAAAGACAAGGACACAGTGAGACAAAGATAGAGAAAAAAGAGAGAGTGTAATAACTTCATGATCATTATCAATTATTAACAATTTATTATTAGAGACAGAGAAATAGACAGTCCAAGAATGTGGAAAAGAGACAGAATTAGAGCGAGAGAAACAGAGAGTACAACATACAGTGATAGGGTGACACACAGAGCGTAGGAAGATAGAGACAGGAAAAAACAACAAAAGATAGAGATAAAGATAGAGAAAGATATAGAGATAGAGACAGTGACTAGAACACAGTGAGAAAAAGACAAGGACACAGTGAGACAAAGATAGAGAAAAAAGAGAGAGTGTAATAACTTCATGATCATTATCAATTATTAACATATTTTTATTAGAGACAGAGAAATAGACAGTCAAATAATGAGGAACAGAGACAGAGTTAGAGCGAGATAAACAGAGAGTACAACAGGCAGAGATAGGGTGATAGACAGAGAGTAAGGGAGACAGAGACAGAAAAAAACAAAGATAGAGATAAAAATAAGGATAGATGTAGAGATAGAGACAGTGACTAGAACACAGTGAGGCAAAGACAAAGGCACAGTGAGACAAAGATAGAGAAAAAAGAGAGAGTGTAATAACTTCATGATCATTACCAATTATTAGCAATTTATTATTAGGGACAAATAGATAGACAGACAGAGAATGAGGAACAGAAACATAAGGAGAGACAAAGACAGAGAGAAAAAGTAGAGATAGAGGGAAACAGACAGCATTTTAGAAGCATTTGATATATATTGGATATTGTAATGATGCAGTTGTCACTATCAATAAGATCATTCACAGAATTCCATTCTTCACAGACTCCATAGAAGAGTCTGTGAAGAGTCCATTCAGCGTGTTTTTCCTGATAATAATATAATTGGTCAAGTGGAAGAGCAATGTTGGCGGCAGAAAACAAAGATGTCAATCATCTTAATGCGCCAATTCAGGGATTTACTTCAAGGGATGAAGTAGTCAACTATTACCACATAATTTGCAGAAGTAAGATCAGTTTTCACCTTCTTTTTTATAGTTACATTTAAAATAATCACTCACCTTTCTCGTATAAAAAACTTCAAAGGCTTATCAAATGTCTCCATGCCGCATTCTAAAATTTCAATAGCAGTTTTGAGAGACCTGTCTTTGACACCATAGACTGCTGCTTCAGTTCTATCCTGAAAAAATTATATATCTTATATAAAAAAATCTTCTGAAATGATGTATGTGAAGATACTCCTCCTAAACGATATAATTCAACTCGGTTTTAATAAATCTTCGTGAAGTTTGTTAAGGGAAATATTAAGAATGTAAATGATTATAAAAATTAAATAATATTGTAGAAATAAATCGAAAAAAATGCAAAAACGACATGTCATTGTTTGTCATTGAAAATATTTTGACAAATGAGAATGTCACCTGCCAAAAAATTCAATTCACTTATGAGCCTAGACAATATTAGAATATAATATTTCAAGATTATGAATAGGAAAAATGTAAGGTCTACATTATTATTGCCAAAAACAGCTAAGACGTTCCAGAAATTAAAATAATATAAGATAAGACAATTTTTTTTTTTAACTAATGCAGTCCTGTTTTGCCTTGCTTTACTAAATAACAATACAAAAAAATTTTACTTATTCAAAAAATTATTTAGAAGTATCATTGTGTCAAAAATTTATATGTTTGTAATATTTACTCTAGTCAATGGAACATTTTGGGTCTAAATTTTTTTACTGTGCTCTAATTTGCATGAAATATTGGAATTAGATTCATCTTACTTTCAAGTTCAAAAGTGAAAATAATTTAGACACCACGGCCACTTCCCAGGGGGATTACACTCTATTTTATTTTTATTTTTTTCAAAATAACGTCGAATATCGATAAAAAAACTAATTATAAGAAAAAAATGTTTTATAATGTGTGATACTTTTCAAGTTACTAGCTAATGGCATTAAAGTAATTTGGACTATTGGAAATAAATTTGTTCTATAAATTGTCGTGTTTAATTTTTATTATACAATTTTATTAAACATATTTTAATATTTGTTTGTTTGGTTTTGGTGGCTGATTTGAAATTCGCAGTATAATTAAAGGGTTAAGTGTAGGATGGAGACTCAACTCAATTTCGGTGTAGACTGTAGTGTAAAAAACATTAATTTTCAACTGAATGGTAAGTTTCAACGTAGGTTATTTAAAAAACTGGAACTTTTGAATTGTAGATATGGGTACAGGACAACGTCTGTCGGGTCGTCTAGTATATATATATATATATATATATATATATATTGTATTTATAAATTACAATTACCTCAAAGTAGGCCCAAGCAAAATTCCAAAATGCTGCCGTCATGTTGGTACACAGAAATCCAAAATCGCTTCCTCTTATATTTTCGTCGACAAATTTATTTTGAAAAGCATTTGAAATGTCGAAAACAATGACAAGAATTATTAAAACAAACCATGGACTCATTTTTCACCACAAATCTAATAATAATTAAATCATTAATATTTGTTTCACTATTTAACTCATATTTAACTTTACCTGTAGTTTGCAAAGTCACCGTATACATCAACGCCATTATTTAAATGCCAAATCTTTAATATTAATTAATCACTTTTAAACTAAAAACACAAATAAAGAGCTAGTTTTATTATAATTACTGTATTTTACTCGTCCAAAATATCTCAAAGTATTTATTTCACAAAATATGTCATTTGTACATTTTCGTTTCGACATATTGAATCATTTATTTTCTTTATCTGTTGCTTTGTCGTTTATTTTTCTGATTTGTACATTGTGACACGCAAAAATATTAATAACTGCTTATTAAAAATGTTGACGAAGCAACGGTGGTCAATTACTTCTCCAACAGGAGCCACTTTGTATGTAATTATTGAAAACGTTTGAATTTTTTTAGCAAAGTTTTAAATCAAGGTTTAGCAAAGTTACAAATCTTAATCATTGTCATAGATAAACAAAATTAAAATTCATATAATCATAAATCATAACATAGATAAGAGAAGTATAAATAGAACACAAACACGACCGTTTCACCATTACTTCAATTTTAATTATTTTTACACTTCATAGGAGGCGCCACTAACTGTAGCTCGTAAATTGACCTCTAGGTTTAATTCTAAGATGGGATTCATTTATATAGATATTATATAAAAGATACACCAGCTTAATTTAAATAAATGAAACTAGAACAAAATAAATAAGAAATTAGTGGTGTATGGCATCGTGCCCTAGAGCAAATTGCAGGAACTTTCTGTATCATAACGAAATATTCGAGGCATATTAAATGTTTTCAAATAGATTATTATAAATACTGTTACATTGTCTAAATATTTATTTATAAGAATTATATAAACTGAATTACAAAGTTAAAATTATTTACAAATGATGTTAGAGCTTTAGAACTTCAGCCAGAATTAAAATTAAAATCTAAATTATTTTCGATATACAAAAAATTGAAATATTTTTTTTTTAAAAGCAATTGTTTTGTCAACACAAGCAGAAAGCTTTTTGAATCATTTAAATCGGATGCTTAGTTCTCTCAAAAACTGCAATTTTTTGTACATTTACTATATTTTTTAAATGGCTGGACCTGCCTTTGCCAATAAACCAATCACCGCTTCTCCTAATTATTACAAATTGAATGTTTTTTGGATCATTCAAATAGGATACTCCGTTCTCTCAAAAACTCGATTTTTATTCTCTGTACTCTTTGCTCTTTATCTCCGTAAATGCTGGATCTGCCTTTGCCAAAACCTAATCAGCACACCTCCCTATTAATAAGAATCGAATGTTTTTTAAACCAATGTTTTCAAATAGATTATTATAAATACTGTTACATTGTCTAAATATTTTTTATAAGAATTATATAACTGAATTACAAAGTTAAAAATTATTTACAAATGATGTTAGAGCTTTAGAACTTCAGCCAGAATTAAAATTAAAATCTAAATTATTTCGATATACAAAAAATTGAAATATTTTTTTTTAAAAGCAATTGTTTTGTCACACAAAGCAGAAAGCTTTTTGAATCATTTAAATCGATGCTTAGTTCTCTCAAAAACTTGCAATTTTTTGTACATTTACTATATTTTTTAAATGGCTGGACCTGCCTTTGCCAATAAACCAGATCACCTCACGCTTCTCCTAATTATTACAAATTGAATGTTTTTTTGGATCATTCAAATAGGATACTCCGTTCTCTTAAAAACTCGATTTTTATTCTCTGTAACTCTTTGCTCTTTATCTCCGTAAATGCTGGATCTGCCTTTGCCAAAACCTAATCACACCCCTCCCTATTATAAGAATCGAATGTTACAATTGAATGTTTTTGGATCATTCAAATAGGATACTCCGTTCTCTCAAAAACTCGATTTTTATTCTCTGTACTCTTTGCTCTTTATCTCCGTAAATGCTGGATCTGCCTTTGCCAAAACCTAATCAGCACACCTCCCTATTAATAAGAATCGAATGTTTTTTAAACCACTCAAATGGGTTGATCAGTGCGCCCCAAAACGTGGTCGAAAAATTGCGGACACACAAAACACACACACATCAATTTTTTCTGAGGTATATCAAAATGTTCAGAAACCTCTGAAACGTGAAGATATCATGAACGTGAAAATTTCATTTAGCTCAGAAAAGAAAAATTAAATTGTTTTTGAGAATTTTAATTTTTTAACATTTTTAAAAATTCTTTAGATTAAAAAAAAAACTGGATCTCCGAAACACCTGGGTCTTCCTTTGCAAAAACTTAACAAATTTTTCACAAAGTCAATACAAGTGAAATATTTTTTGAATCATTCAAATAGGATACTCCATTTCCTCACAAACTTGATAAAATATTTCTTCCGCGTTTTCGGAAGCATGGATCAAGCGATTTGAATTATTCAAATAAAATTTGATACCAAATAATAAGGAGACATGCTGATTACGTTTTGGCAAAAGTTGAGCCAGAGTGCAGAAATTGGCAATGAAGTTTTTGAAAAAACGAAGAATCCGATTTGAATGATTTAAAAAAAAAATTCAGTAGTATTGACTTATCGAAGTATTGATTAAATTTTTGAGAAGGTAGATCCAGCGGTTTCGGAGACCCAGGAAAAAAGTAATGAAAAATGCCATTTGGCAATCAAAAATGATTATTAGAGACATGAATGAAATTGTAATAATAGAGATAATGAATACCAATTTTGTTTTACATTTCTATGGGTTCCGTACCAAGATTTACTTAACTTATATAGATCAAACAAACCTGTTTGGTATTTTCGACAGTATGTATCAACCGATATGAATGGGTATCAAAAACTTTCAATAAATTTTAGAATGTTTCAAAATTTTCAAAAAAATAAATATTTTTTCAATGTTTTATGTTCAAAGTTTTATATTATTTTCCAAATCTTTACAAATGTTCGAATAAAATCAAAACTCTCAAAAAAAAAAATTATATCGTTTCTATAATTTTAAATTGTGGTAAAGGAAGTTCCAGCAATTTGGGTCAAGGATCGATAACATGCCCCACTAGTTAACTTCCCGTAGGGTAAATTATTGTAATGCGCCGAAAATCGAAATTGAAAATTTTTACATTTCTCGACGTTTTGAAGGTTTCTGAACATTTTGGCATACCTCAGAAAAAATGGATGTGTGTGTGTGTATGTATGTATGGACACAAATTTTCAGTCACGTTTTCGGGCGCACGGATCAACCGATTTGAATGATTCAAAAAACATTCGATTCTTATTGATAGGGAAATGTGCTGATTACTTTTTGGCAAAGGTAGGTCCAGCCGTTACGGAGATAAACAGCAGAGAGTGCAGAAACTAGAAATCGAGTTTTTGAGAGAACGGAGCATCCTATTTGAATGATCTAAAAAACATTCAATTTGTAATAATTGGGAGAAGAGGTGATTAGTTTTTGGCAAAGGCAGGCCCAGCCATTTCGAAGATACAGAGCTAAATGTGCAAAAAATGATAGTTTTTAAGAGAATTAAGCGTCCGATTTAAATGATTTAAAGAACTTTCTGCTTGTCTTAACAAAATAATTGATTTTGGAAAAAAAAATTTTTTTGTCTCAACTTTTTTTTTAATTATTTTTTTCAAAATTTTTTTTTGTATATCGAAAATAATTCATATTTTATTTTTAATTTTGACTATTGTTCTGATATACTTTAAACAAATGATTTCAACTTTGCAATTCAGTTTATATAATTCTTATAAATATTAGACTATTAATAATCTATTTGAAAACATTCAGTATTCCTCGAACATTTCGTTACAGTATGGAAAGTTCCAGCAATTTGCCTTAAGGCTCAATACCATACACCACTAATTTGTTCAATAATTGGACAAATGCCAAACTAAAAACTTTTTTCTTATAAATGAAATAAAATTTAGAAAGTTTGCTTTCACTGCTTTAGGTATTTACCCTGTCTATAATTGCCCTTCAATAAATACTGTATCGTAATTATTATTTTTCTTTCCTATACGACAAGGAGAAAAAACACCTTGCTAATTATTATAAACCCTTGAACCAAAAGAAATTAATTATAGATATATGTGAATAATGAATAATTTTACAGGAAACCATCTAATTATTAAACTAGTGGCGTGCATGGCATCGTGTCTTAAGGCAAATTGCTGGAACTTCCCGCACCGTAATTAATTTTTTTTTTCTAAAGTATGCCAAAATGTTCAGAGACCTCTGAAACGTAAAGATATATAAAAATTTTCATTTTCGATTTTTTGCGATTACTATAACTTGCCCTACAGGAAGTTAATAACTAGTGGTGCATGGCATCGTGCTTTAAAGCAAACTGCTGGTACTTCTCGTACAAAAATGAAAAATTTTAAAAATGAGAAAAAAATTTTTGAACTTTGAAAAATAGTTTTGAGATTTTTAAAATTTTTGAAAAAAATACATTTTTGACAAAATTTGACGTTTTTTGATAATTTGAAGTATTTTGAAAATTTTTAACTTTTTCCAAAGCAATCGCAATACGTTAGCCGCATAGAAATGAAATATCGAAGCGCGTGAGCGCCGTGTGGCAGTCTAACGAATAAACATTGGTCCGAAACCCATAGAAATGTAAATAAAATTAATACTTATTAAAATCTCTATAAATTATCTGATAATTTAGTATAGCATATGTCTAATGATCATTTTTGACCCCCAAATAGAATTTTCTTACCTTTTGAAGTACTTCTTTAGGCGCGACTAGGGTGTAAATCTATACAAATGCAACGGAAAAAGCATTACGACCGAGACAAGTGCCAATGATTCGTCATTCGCTCTCGATGATATCATTTTTATACGGGTCGATTGTGATTGTATAGTGAAAATAATAAAACAAATGAAAAATCTGAACTGTAAGAAACGTAAGTTTATTGAAGTAATTTGTATTACTCGTGGTTACTATATATTTTTGAGGTTATTAAAATGGAAATTATTTTTATAAGCGAGACAGTTTTACAGCTGTTCAAAAAACAGAACTGTATCGCTAGCGAAATAGTAAAAAGAACAAGCAGTTAATGAACCTGTTAATTTTAATTATATGATAAGAAAATTGTGAAAACAATATTTCTTTAGGCGTTGTTTAACATAATAATTCTCTGCGTTTTTATAGATATTAAAAAATATTGAAGCAGTACAGCTTTATTCTATCATGCCAAAGATATATCTTTTTTAGAAATTTTCCAGACACTTTTGGAAGTTTAGAGGAAGTGTACATGTTTTTCGATCATAATGGCTATTAAGTCTTATAAAGTTGCATATTTTTATAAATATTGAAGAATGAATTGGTATTCATATTTATTTATTACTCTGAACAAGACATCAAGCACAACAATAGTTTATGCAGCTGTGTATCTTTTATATACAGATCTACTTCATAATGGCCATCTAAACAGTTTATTTATTGATAGTGTTAATGGAATTATTCAAAATTGTTATAAATTCACTGTTTTGAACGAATATTATCGAATTTATTAATCATCAACCACTTAATTTCTCTAATAATGTTCAAGTCCTAAATGCTAATTACAATGTCAAACCGATCACGTCTGAAGTGTGACTTTAATTACATTATTTTTTTCAAACTTATAAATATTATTAATGGTATTATAAATATATAATAATTCTTACTATATAAATATGTATAATGGTTGGCATTAAAAAATGTATGCATCACGAGTGTTACCATTACTAATAAATATTATTCAAAATTGTTATATCATGTGTTTATTTTACTTAAATGCCATCATTAGCAAAAAAGTTTTACTTCAATCGCGTGTGAACCTTACGCGCACTCTTTTTTTTAACTTTCCGAAGATGTTTTTTACGCGAAAAAATTCGTTTTGCTAATCACGGATATTCTGACGCAAACATGTTTTGTCTGAAATGAAATTCGTCTTCTGGTAGTTAAAACTTTTTTAAATATCTCTGTCAAGGTCAATGGATAATTAAAACAACTGATCACATTTGTTTATAATTATTATTCATGTAATTAAAATCTGTATAAATGAATGTTCAATCAACTTAATTATAAAGCCAATAATTAAACTATTTAAATACTTAAAATGTTGCAGTATGACTAATCCCATCATGCTGCCATCTGTTCTCAAGTTCAAATTCGTTATTCAATAACTTTTATTCAAATTCCTGAATCATTAAAGAATAATCACCACACAGTCCAATTTGCCGTCTTGTCTTCTTAAAATGAATAAAAATTTCAATTCCAAAAACAATACAAGACAATGCACAACATGCCAAATACGATTCAAAAATGAAACCAAGTTCCCTCATAGTATAAGTATCACCAGCTCTTAATTTTTCGCTTGATTCCATTTTAATACGTTTCGTAGTCCATTGTAGAACATCATCAGTCCATTTCGGCATCAGACCACTTTCCGTAATTCGTTGATAAACCTGGTCAAACATTGGTTTGTATGGTGACACTGTTGGCACCAAATGAGAACTATACCAGGATGGTGGTCCACTATTTAAAACATGCAAATGTTCTTTATATTGGGAACGCAACTTTTGAACATTTGCTAATAACAAATGTGTACATCAAAACTGCATCCTTACGTTTCGCAATACGTTCCAAAGCTTCCTCAGTGTTGTTTACAACTTCTTGTCTTCTGTACAAGTCTTTGTAATAATCAGGAGCTGCATCAGACTCTGCCATGTCTTTTAGAAAATTCTTAAACCTGTGGAATACCAAAACTTTTAAATTGTTGTTCTTCAATTGGCGCATCCTTTGTAAATTCATGGAAATTCTGCCGCCTGTTAAATGCTCAAGCATTGTGCCACCATAGATGTAACCGTTGACCAAGGAAAACAAGGCCCAGGTAATAAATAACAACCTGGCGTAAAGAGGTTTAACGACAGGTTGTGAAACATTCATAGATATGCCAAATGTGATTAGAACAACTTCTGCAAGTGTTAATTTTTTGCTATGGCACGAACTCATTGTTTTTTGCATAAACAACCAAGTACCAAGTATTAAAATATAAACAGCAATCCATACCAAGTAAAAATTTAGGCTAAAAATGTTGAAAAAAGTGACTACAAATTTTGGTGGCCTATAAGGCGTTATAAACGCAAATTTATATTCTTCAATAGCAGTTATAAACTCTGAATTCTGTTGTCCTAAGTCCATAATAGGACTCATGTTACCTAAAATATCAGCTTTACCGTGTTCTAATTCATCCAGACAACCTGTACGTGTCCCGTTTGCGTAAATTTTACCAAAACCTTGCCCATCCTCAGGTGCATAGTAAATTGGACGGAAATTCATGAATTGGACTAAAGAATGCATGATGTTGCCATCACGTAAAATGTATCTCGATAAAGTACCGTTTGGATGATGGATAGGTAATGCTGTACCATTGGATTCAACAATACAGATCCTTAAAGGATGTTGTCTTACGTCTCGTAAACGTCCATTCATCATTGTAATAATTTCTTGGATAAAACCATCGTTGTCCTCGATTCTGAACTCGTGCACAAGTCCTCGATCTGTGCTATTAGGGGCAAAAGGATCGTAAAAGGACAACGTGAAGGACTCATTCATGCCAAAGTAGTACTCATCCGACAGTTTGTCAAAATTATGGAAAATTGCTACGTTCAGCATGTTGTACTTGTGCCAGCACAATTTTAAAATTCGTTCCACTTGTTCAGAGTCAGTGTCTGTTAAGATCATTATGAATTTAGTTGTCTGATCTGTTTGGGCAACTAAATTTATACGAATTTCTGAATACTCTGCCCATTGTGTTGCAAAAACTAAACCGTAGGTTTGTTCGATTTTTGAATACAGACACTTCGCCAGAAACGTGTGTCTCGTTCCTAAAATTAATGAAAATAGAATACTTACATACACACACACACACACACAACACACACACAACATATATATATATATATATATATATATTATATTACCATTCATGTATTAGAATATCCTGTGTCATATTAATATTGTCTTGGCTACATTTGAAAATTTCTTCACTAAAGGGCAAAGATGTGTCTTTTGTTGCTAATATTCGCACAAAATTTTTACCCTGCCAAATTGAAACATTAATTAATATATTATGATACATACTAATTGAATTTGAATTTTCATGACTTGAAATTAATTACTAGTGCTTTTTCGTCTTTATTATCACAGTTTCCACTACCAGGAAACAAGCATAAAATAGCGTTGCCATGAGAACGCTATGTTATGAGGCAGAATTGCCCCTTAGGTCTACCAAAACTTAGATTTCTCTTTTATCCTAGTACAACGTAAAAAGTCCCAAAAGTAAAAAGATAGTGAGAGAAAAAAGAAAAGGTCAATTCTGTATATAAATTAATAGATATATAATATGTGGCCCTGGTTTAATTTGTAGTATTGTAGTACTCAAAACATGGAGCAAATTATCTTATCTTGCATTAAAATTAGTGAGCAAGACTTATAGACATGAAATTGATTATGCAAAAATACGGTGATACCACATTTTAGTGTAACTACGCTCATTACTGTGACAAGCTTCACGGTTCATAACTTTGCTAATGCGATCGCAGCGACTTCACGCAGGTGTAAGTATGTATATATATATATATATATATATATATATATATATATATATATATGAGTGAGTTCTTGAGGGCGATACATCAACAAGAAAAGCCAAAGATTTATAAAATAATCTTTATTTCCAAACGTTTCGACATTCAATTTAATGTCATCATCAGTGGATCTAAAAACAGTATGAAAATTAGTATATCTAGGTAATTATAATATATGTGGATTGGTAAAGGAACTATACAATAAGAAAAAATTAACAAACAGCAACACTTAACGACAAACCAAATATAAAAGATAGGAAAGGTAGTAGAGATTAGAATTAAATAAATAATTAAAAATATAGGCAAAATATATATATATATATATATTAAACATACAATATATGTAAACTCGTATATATGTAAAGCAAACAAAATATTTATGAAATTCATAAATATTTTGTTTGCTTTACATATATACGAGTTTACATATATTGTATGTTTATATATATATATATATATATATATATATTTGCCTATATTTTTAATTATTTATTTAATTCTAATCTCTACTACCTTTCCTATCTTTTATTTTGGTTTGTCGTTAAGTTTTGCTGTTTGTTAATTTTTTCTTATTGTATAGTTCCTTTACCAATCCACATAATTATAATTACCTAGATATACTAATTTTCATACTGTTTTTAGATCCACTGATGATGACATTAAATTGAATGTCGAAACGTTTGGAAATAAAGATTATTTTATAAATCTTTGGCTTTTCTTTGTTTGATGTATCGCCCTCAAGAACTCACTCACATATTTCAACATCAAAATTAACTACTAAATCATATATATATATATATATATATATATATATATATATATATATAAAATATGGTAAATCTAAAAGTGGAAAATATATTTCATATTATAAATCTGCTAAATGTAGTAAATTGATACAATAAATTATCCTATAAAGGCAAAAAATTACTGCCAAACAAAGATTCGCAAAGAATGGAAGTTGTATTATCAGGCTTCATAATAGAACAAAGGTAAATTCTATGACACAATACAAGAAGCAATACCTATCAGACCATGGTATGACGAGTTTACTGAATGTCGATCATTTTTTTCTACAATATGTAGACTAAGATTTAACCATACATACACTCTGTTTCACCTGAGTAGAATTAGGATCAATACCGATCCTAATTGCTATTGCTTGGGTGGAGTGACTACTTTTAGGGCGGATGCTGAGCACGCCATTATGGAGTGCAAAAAATGGGAAAAGGGTAGGCAAGAACTATGGAGGGAGATAGTAAGGCAAAAAATCTCCGTCCCAACCAATTTTATAACATTATCGACCAAAAAAATGATATATGGTGCGCTATATAATTATATACAATCAAATAAAATAAAATAAAAGTGTAAAAATAACTTATACAATGTATATGACTAATGTAGTGTATACAAAGTCGACAAATAAATAAAATAAATAAATTTGTTCACCATGCTTATCACATTGATAAAAATAACTTATCTTATCTTATTTTATATTAAGTGTACTGTGATAGATAAATACACCACATTTTAATTTTAATTTCAATCGCAATTAAGTTCATTACTGTGACATGCTTTAGGGTTCATAACTTTGCCAAGGCGATCGCAGCGACTTCACACAGGTGTAGATAAATACATAAAAATATGGTAAAAGTGGTAAATTTATTTCATATTATATAAATCTGCTAAATGTAATGAAAAATAAAATAAATTTGTTCACTATGCTTGACACATTGATAAATATATCTTATCTTATCTTATATTAAGTGTACTGTAATAGACAAATATACCACATTTTAATTTTAATTTCAGTTGCAATTAAGTTCATTACTGTGACAAGCTTCACGGTTCATAACTTTGCTAAGGCGATCGCAGCGACTTCACACCGGTGTAAGTAAATATATAAAAACATGGTGAACTATCTTATCTTATCTTATATTAAGATAAGAGTGTAGTTTTATACAATGCAAAAATAATTATCCATTGACTTACCTTGAAATAATTCCATGCAAATTTCCAAAACATTCGTTCAGTTCTCGTACATAAAACATTTTCAAACAAATCCAAATCTTTTAGCATAATTGAACTGTCAGATGTTGCAATTTTGAGGTTGAGTAGTAGAATTGATAGTACTAAAACTGGAATTAATACTTTTGTGTCATTCATTTGCTGACAAATTAGGTAAGAGATCGTATTTTAATGAACTGACATTGCTGGAACCTGAGGGGAAAAGAAATAAAAGGAATTAAAAACCTAGAAGCCGGGTCAGCTGGTATATATATATATATATATATATTATATGAAATTATTTTGTACGGATGTATGAATCCAAACTCCTCCCACACTGTTATTCGAATTTTGATAAATCTTTTTGGAGTTTGTTAAGGGAAATTTTTTAAATGTTATGAATTATGAAACTATTGGAATATTGTGGAAATGAATGGAAAAAATTGCAAATCATTGTTTTACATTGAAAACATTTTGACAAAAGAACTGTCATTTGCCAGGAATTCAATTCATTTGAAATGTGAATTTAGATTAAATTATGAGCCTATCGTCTATATAAAAATCTTCTGTACGGATGTATGAATCCAAACTCCTCCAACACGGTTATTCGAATTTTGATAAATCTTTTTGAAGTTTGTAAAAAAAAAATTTTAAGATGTTATGAATTATAAAACTGTAGTAATACTGTAAAATGAATAAAAAATATTGCAAATCATTGTTTGGCATTGATAATATTTTGGCAGTCACACATTTTAAGAGAACTATCCATTTGCCAGAAATGCAATTCACTTAAAATGTGAATTTAGGTTGAATTATCCTATCGTATATGTAAAAATCTTCTGTACGAATGTATGAATCCTCCTACACGGTTATTTGAATTTTGATAAATCTTTTTGAAGCTTGTTAAGGAAAATTTTTAAAATGTTATAAATTATAGAAATAAAGATTAGATGGGAGAAATAAATGAAAAAATTGCAAAAAACAACATATCATTGTTTGAAATTGAGAATATTTGAGACATTGCTTGACATTGACAACAAATGAAAACTGTTATCTGCCAAAAATTTCAATTCACTTATGAGCCTAAATAATATTGGAATATGTTTAATTAATTCATGATCTCGAATAAGAAAAAAGAAATGTCTACACATTATTATTGCCAAAAAGCAGCTGAAATATGCCAAAAATAAAAACAATATAAGATACAGTATGTTTTTACGTGTGCAGGACAACGTATGTTGGGTCATCTAGTATATATATATATATATATATATATATATATATATAAATAAGTCGGGTTTTCCTTCCTGACAAAATAACTCCAGAACGCACAAACCGATTTCGACAATTTTGCATTCGTTGGAAAGTCTCGGGCTCCGTAAGGTTTATAGCTAAGAAAATTAGTTGTGCATGGCATCGTGCCTTAATGCAAGCCGGTGGAACCTCACGCACCGTTATTAAATATTCGAGTAATGACATCAGTGAGAATTATCAGAATTATGCTTGGTTAAGTCTACGAGCTATTCTTGCCGCAAAGAAGAATGATGTACACGCACTGAATTTCACCATTCAATCAAAAACTGGCGATTTGGTGACATACCAATGATTCCGACTGGTCTTCCGTTTGACTTCAATCTATTGCAGTTTCCAGTTCGCCTTGCGTTCGCAATAACAAGTCGCAAGGCCAATCGCTTAGTGTTTGCGGGATAAATTTCAAATAGATTATTTAGAAAATTATTGTTTTTCACATGGGCAGTTATACGTTGCCTGTTCACGAGTTGGAAAACCATCCGCTTTGTTTATGTTAACGTCAGACCAAAAAACAAAAATGTGGTTTACCAAAGAGCACTTCAATAAAACAGATAATTTGCGGATTCACTTTCATTTACTTAGATATAAGTTCAACTAAAAAACACTTCATTTTTGTAATCGAAATAAATTCATTACTGTTGTATAATAAAATCAAATTTTTCCTTTTCAAATATAAAACAAACAAAAAAATTCTTCATCTTTCTCACGAAACCATCTGGTGGCGAAACGGAGTTCGTCGGGTTTGCTAGTATATATATAAAGTTTACAATAGTTGCAATAAAAAGTTACACTTATAAATAAAATAAGCATGGAATAGAGCTAATGTTCTTTATATATTTGCGCTATTTGAAGGTTAGTTTTTCCGCGTTGACGTTATTAAAAATTTCAAGATTATCATTACATTGACAGTCTACATAAAAAACTGGCATAAAAATGTTACCATAAGGAGTCCATGCTAACATAACATAGCGAGTAGTAATAATAAGTAAATTATTACTACTAACCTATACTACATATTAGTGCACATAATAATAATATTTACCAACCAATAATATTCCAACTAACTACAAATAACTTCCTATTATCAACTTTGATTTTTTTCCAAATCCTGTTGCCACATGACAACACCAACAGAAATCACTTCCCGATTGAAGTTTGTTCAAACTGATCAAAATCATTACTTTGTTCAAATTGATCATAATTCTCGATGGCGTTTAATTATATTTGCCAAGTTGGCAACTCGTTGATGAAATGACGGTGCGCAAACACATGGCGAGGAATTGGCTGATTGCTGATCTTATCTTTTGGAGAAGATGATTAAATATTAATCGGCGGTAATGTATATAGGATAAATAATGTTTTTGAGGAAATCGATATGTAGGTGTATGAATGAATTTATGTTTGGACCATGTATCTGAATAGAGATCAGAGACATGGACTAGGTGGTAAGACAATGAAACTATTCTACTGCCAACTTAGATTTGATTTTATTCCGTATCTTCAGGATAATAACGTTGTTTAACTGAACATTACTTGAAGTCGGGATAAAAGTTTCACTTCATTAAACATAACACTTTTGGTCTCCATTTAAATGACAAACCTAATATAGGTCAAATAATTGATATTTTGAAAGCCAAATTGGAAGTATAACCTTAAAAGTAGAGAACTCTACTTACGAACCTGAACTTGAGAAGATGAATAAAAAAAAGTAAAACTCTACAGACAAGAAAGCTGAGCTGAACTTTTGGTTTCTAAATTTAGTAGAAAAATAGACTTTAATGATGAGCAAAGTAAATCCACATTTGCCAAAATTAAAAAAGACTCTACTGACTCTAGTTTAAAAAGTCCTATAAAATCAAATTTCTACTGAGCAATCTAAACAATGATTAAAAAAGTGGTGAATGGTATCAGTAGGAATCGATTGCTTTTTCAATCATTCAAATCGGTTGATCCGTTCGCCCGAAAATGTTGACGTAAAATTGTATCCCTACACGCACACAAATCCATTTTTTCTGAGGTATGCCAAAATGTTTAGAAACCTCAAAAACGTGAAGATATGCAAAAATTTTCATCAGACTCCAACGATACCATAAGCTAGATAATGGTCGATTTCAAAAACCAACAAATTCGACATTAGACTTACTTGTTTCATAAAATCAACAGAAACTTTACTAAGGAGCAACCTAAAACTTTACTTCCAAAAAAGTAGGGAACTCCCACGACCAGCAGCTTAAATTAGGGAAGAGACTAGTGAAGTATGGCATCGTGTCTTGAGGCAAATTGCTAGAACTTCCCATACCGTAATAAAATATTCGAGAAGAATTAAATCAATTTTGGATCAATCAAATCAGATGCTCCGTTCTCCCAAAAACTTGATTTCTATTATCCGCGCTCTTTGCTCCGTATCTCCAAAATGGCTGGACCTATCTCTGCCAAAAACTAATCTCCACTTCTCTACATCATTACGAATTGAATGTTTTTTGGATAATTCAAATCGGATGCTCCGTTCACTCAAGAATTCGATTTCTATTTTCTGCACTCTTTGCTTCGTATCTCCGAAACGGCTGGACCTACCATCAATAGCAATCGAATGATTTTTTAATCATTCAAATCGGATAAACCGTGCGCCAGAAAACGTTGACGTAAAATTGTATCCATACATACATACACAGACACACATCCATTTTTACGGGATGACGTGGAAGAGACATTGAGACGCAGAATTACCCCAGGTAATGTTGTTGAAGTGATGCTGACAAGTGAAGCTGCTTGGAACGCCATAGACAGATTTGCGAGAGACGTATTAATTGACCTGCGTTCTATAGAAAGAGAAAGGGCAAATGGGACTTCGCCCATCTAAAAGATATGTATAATGTTTATGAATTATAACATTGATTAAAAAAGTTAAGAATTATAACTTTCTAGATCCTCCCACCATGAAGTAATGCCTAACGGCGGTTTCCGTGGGGACCAGAGGCAAGGGCAAAGCGGAGGTTTTAGTCGGTATTATACCAGGGCGGTATCGAGTCCGACATACCCAGACAGAAGATCAATCTGGGATGCATAAAGGGATTTCCTTCGCTATACAAAAAAAAAAACACATCAATTTTTCTAAAATATGCAAAAATGTTCAGAAATCTGTGCAAACATTTTCATTTTCTATTTTCGGCCCATTATTATAACTTACCCCACGGGAAGTTAATAAAGAAATCTATTGACAAAAAAACTTAAAGAAAAACTTGTATTGAAAAAACTATGGGCAAAACAAAAGAGAAGTCTACTGACAAACGGTGACTAGACATGGTTCAGAACTGATCAGAAACATGGACTCTCTATGAAAAGAAGGAGAAGAATCTGAGGACAAGCAATCAAGAAGATTTTGTCAGATGCTTAGAACTTGTCTAGACATAATAATAAACTGATGAAAAATACTCTACTGACAAGCAACTTAAGGTTGAATTTAGGGAAAGAAAAAACTAATGGAGTAATTCTGCCTCTTAGCATAACGTTGTCATGGCAACGCTATCTTATGCTTGTTTGTTGGTAGAATTTTACGCATAAACAAGCAAAAAAGAATCTTATCATAATTGCATCATCGGAGATTCTTTTACCATAATATCCTTCCTTGCTTGTTTATATGTAAAATACGCCTGATCGCCTGCAAATAGATGGACATTTTAACAGTTTTCACTGCCAAGAAACAAGCATAAGATAGCGTTGCCATGACAACGTTATGCTAAGAGGCAGA